CTGATCATCATCGTGTAACATCACCTTAACTCCCTGACGTTTTTTTAAACTGCTTCTGGAATCTCTACAGCTCTTTGTGTTCGTTGTGTAGCGGGATTAAAAAAATGTAGTTTTTTGGTTCGCTGCGTTACTTCTGGCGCTAGCCTGTTCCAAGGTGGCACAAAATAGACTGGAGGACCTCTGGAATAGGCTTTTCTGGCGCTAGCAGACTCGGCTGTGGCTGTAAAAAAGAACGACACCAAAACTATGAATGTACTTAAGGTAACCTGCGATCAGGCGTTTTTTTAGAATAGAAGGAAAATTTCATTAACTAGACTATACTGCTATTGCACCACGCGCACTTTCTTGGCATCTGGTTGAAATAGTGGTTCTTCTGCCCGCTCAGCTCGTCTGTTCACTACCTGAACATTTCAGTTAGACAATCATTAACCAGATCACTTTATATATTTTACTCAGTTGATAGGAGACACAACTGAACGCTCGCCTTGTTAAATCGCATTTGCCGCAAGAACGCGTATTGAGTCATCATAATTTCCCGTTCCCGACAGAGAGGGAAAAAAATCCCACATCCCACGCCCTAAATTTTTGTGAATCCCGCTTCCCGGGTAGCAATCAAATACCGTTTCCCGCCAAGATATTTTGTGTTTTTCCTAAATCCCGCACCGTATTTTGATCAAATCCAGGATCCCGAAAATACCCTAACCAGACCATGTTTTTAGGGTGTAAAATGACCAATAGCTCTGAGTACGAGGTTGACAGTTGTCAATTGAGGTTTTGTGTCTCAGTCAGCAGCGATCACAACAGTAAATTAAAGCGACTTGTACCAGGATGTAAGTGTTAATGTTAAAACCTCTTATGATTATTATCAAAACCGGCATATTACGCAAGTATTTACTGTTTACCTGCCACTTTTCTAGCCTGCGAATGCTGCTCTCTCAGTTTCCTCGCTCTGCGCCGCTAGGTTAACGTCCAAGACCATAGTGGAGCGAGGATAGACGACTGTATTTACAGGCTTTTACTTTGCGTAAAATGTCAAGAGATGGGTAGGTGGCCTAGGAACAGAGAGGAGGGGTGGGTAGGGGCAAAGAGAGAGTAACCTTTATAAGACGTGAGAAGAAGGGAGGGGAGGGGGAGAGCTTCTTTTGCTTTAGTTGGTGTTTGTTGGCTCGCCTCAAATTCACTTACATAGTTAAAAAAAAGCCTTTAATTATTAAGTAGTGAAGCTAATAAGCTGAAAACACGCTGTGAAAAAATAAAGCTTGAAGCAAATAAGCGAGTTTAGCAGATTCATCAACATACCAAGGCGGAGAACCTAAAAATAATAATGGCTCAGTCAAATTGACGTCCTTAATCACCTAATTAAACGGGCTCACCCTCGACAAAAAACCCTCGGTATATAGTCAAAAGAAGTTGATGATATATTTTCAATACGTTATCAGAACTTTTAATTCTCACGAACCGTACAAAAAGTTACATCGACTACATCGACTAAACCGTAATTTTGTTTTTCAATTCAGTAGATTCAGTTTTTAAACAGCTACAGTCTGAATGATTCAAACTAACTACGAAGTTTTCCATTTCTGCAGTTGGAATGAGGCCGTCTTTGTAGCGACATATCGTTTTGAGCTGTCAAACAAGTTCTTGCCGTGCGTAGTCAACTTTGTGCATATATAATTATTGAATGGATTATCGCCAGATAGACTGGGTGTGATTTCGCGTCGACTGACACTGTATTGACCAAGGAAACGAGGACTATTTTTTGTCATCTGAACTAGACTAATAGCACTTCGTCTGGTTTCTCTAACTCGCGAACACAGCCTTCTCTCCTCGCTCCTGTCAGCTAGGGGCGTTTTAGTGTTAAGATGTCAGTGGTGTACCACACCGCGGTCAAACGTCTAAATCGTTATTTTTGTTTTTTTTTTTGCTGGGATTTCATTTATCAGTTAGAGAAAAATGGGCAAAGATGTATAAATCAGTTAGTCAACATAACTATCTTTCCATTTTTCGCAAAATTTTGAGCTTTTTTCGCTGAAAACGCTTCGCGCTAAAAGAGAATCATGTTTGAAAATGGCGTCGATAATAACGTCAGCATCGGTTTTCAATCACTTAGAACTTTTTTAGTAAACTTTTAAAAAGTTTAGTAAACTAACAGGATGTTGGTAATACCCTAAACTTTCGATAGTGAAAGTAGCAACCTTAACTTTGAAGTATTTCGCTTAACTTTTGCAAATTTCACTCGTTTGACCGCTGTGAAGTGGTGTACACGTGTCCGGTGAGATCAAGAAGAAACTCTTTTAGAGGAATAGAAAGGCCTGGTCGGTCAACTTTGAACAGGAAGGACCCTCAACGCCGCTACAATTTGCTTTACGCACTTTCTTTTTTTTTTTTGTATTTCCAATCATAATATAGCGGTGTTTAGCTCAAAAGCTAAGCTCCTCTGACCACCGTACACTTCTACCCAAGCCATTAATTTTCTTTCTTTTTTCCTTCTTCTTCTACTTTATTAGTGTATTCTTACCTTACTATACACAATGTTAATATTTTATAAAGCTTTTTTTTTGTTTTGTTTTGTTTTTTTCAGGCGCGCACGGCCAGGAGCCGGTAGTGCAATGGTCAAGAAGTGCAATGGCCGTGCGACATCACCGATACTTAACAAAGCCAGAGTACAATGGCTATGCCGAGGAACGTCTGAAGGAGGGTACACCAGTACGCCAAAATCGCCCAGGAATAGAACCTGGCCCCCCGGAAACGCTCTCCGCCCAACGGGGCACCTGAGCCATCGGGTGTGCTAGGACTGCTATAAGGTAACGAGTCCCACAATGCAACGAACTGCATACAGCAGGACCATAAAGTGTGAATAATTAAATTGAATTGAATTGAATTAGAACTTTGTATTTACTCAAGGAGACTATTGTTTTATCAGTGGTACCCACCTGGAATAGCTTCGCTAATTGTTGGTAACACGGTCATAAATTATTTTCAAATTGGATAAACTGTTGTCGCTGTTGTTGTTGTTGTTGTTGTTTAAAAATTAAGCGGATGCTGCCCCGTCCCCGGTCGTCTCTGTCTCTCCTTAGTGGCGCAAGGGGTGTGATCACCCCCTGCTCCCGCCGCGTGTTATGCAAGGACGACTGGGGACGAGTGAAAACAGGAGTCAAAACAAAGTCAGAAACAGTAGCTTCAATTAGAACAATTATTACAATAAAACCTGCAATCACGAAATAGTTTCGGTTAATTCCCTTGATCATTTGCTTCATCGCTTGTCTTACAAATTTTCGATCGTAATAAACAAAGAACACCTTCCCACTTCAGTTTCAAGGCATGTAAACGGCATTTATTTGATAGCGAGCTTAAAAAGGAATGTTGGGTGCAACTAAAACCCTAAGTGGGACAATCATCAAAAGTGTGTAGGGAGGATACTATTTTTTAACTCTTTTTCCCTTATTTCCTCTGCCCCTTCCCCAATGTAGACTGCAAAACAGTCACGTTATTTTTGCGTATTCAAGTACGCCGCGCGAGCAGTCGAAAAAAAGGTCTAGAGCCAGGCTGAACACGGAGGGCGAGACTGGGGAGAAAAGCTAAAACTACGCTAAATCGATTTTGAGAAAAACAAATCCGACTTTTTTGCAGTCTATTCTCAATGCTATACAAAACTAAAGTGTTTGTGCGCGTAATTGTTTTGTTATATCCAAAACCTTCCCAACTTCTTTTGTCCGGGATTATTGCAGGTTACAAAGTGAAAATGTCAAAGCGCACAAGCCGCCCTAAAGAAGTTTGAATAATTATACGTATCTGGAGTTTGGTGAGGTCGTCTTAAATCGGCCGCAATATATATTTCAACTCGACGAAAAGCCTCAAAGGGCTTTTCTTGTAACCCCCTTTGAAAAGGTATCTAGGAGAGCAAGGGTGGCACATTCATGAGACAAAATGTGAGGACAGGCGGCCTTCACCAATTTCCATCCTCACTGCTAAGATTTCTTCTGTAGTATTTCTCTTAAGCGCGAAACTCAAGAGGCAAGACTGTTAAGTGGCGTTGTCGACTTTCCGTCGCACGTTATGGCACACTATTAGCAGGGACGGGTCCAGAAAATTCAGAAAGGGGTGGCAGGGACAAATGCCTTTATTTATTTTGCTGAGAATTCTATAAAAAAACAATTCTATATTTCAAAGAAAAAGTGGTGACCGCGGCCCCCTCGGCCACCCCTAAATCCCCCCTTGATTAGGAGACATTGAATACAAGGAACAAAGCATTTACTAACACTGTTGTTTATTTAGACAAAACATAATCGACTTGAGTTATTAACAAAGGGAATAGCATTTTGTTTTTTGAGAAATATGTACGTCTGTTACTACTGGAAAAAGCTAAATAAAAATAAGCCTCGTAGTTAAAAAATTGTGAACCAATCAGGCTGTCCTCGCTTATTGAACAGATAACAACCCATTCAAAAAACACACTTTCAAAAATGTATCTAAATATTGAACAGAGTTTAAAGATAAATAATTACAAATTAGTAATAATGCGAGCTTAAAAGGTTAACAGAATTTTTTTTCATAATAATAAACTGTGGAACTAGTCAATCTATTGCAGTTTTTTTTTCCAAGTATTGCATTTACGGCATAAATATTATAGAGGCAATGTAAGGAGGGTCGCGCCGGCGAAAACTCAACTTTTACGCGACATTGGACTGATCCATATTATTTATGGAGCAAAATATATTTACAGAACATAAAACACCAATTTCGACATATCAAAATGTCTAAACAAAATAATCGCACAAAATGGATTTCCTCCCGAAACATGAACTGTGAATCTGATTAATAATCGGAATATAAAATAGTGAACTGAATTTCAAAGGTTATTTGTAGCCCGCTGCGAATACAGCTGACTCTCCTCGCTCATCGCTGCTATTACGAAGTTTCGCGGCAGAGATGTTTTCCGCCAAAGGTCCCTAACGACGAGGAGCGAGGAAAGACGGTTTTATTCGCAGGTTATAGTTATTTCATGAATGCTGAAATACCTGGATTCGATGGTTATTGCAATCACACACAACTATTCTTCCATCACTAAGAATTGCTGTAGAAAATGGACTCTTAAACTCTCCTCTCCCGCTACCTTCACTTCCAAATTTTGTAACAAACTTTCCACTCAGTTCAAATACTTGAACTCTGTGATTTTGTGAATCACAGACCATTAGCAATCTTTCTTTGTTAACTGACAAGCAACGGGGCTGATTGAACTCTCCATCCTTGTTCCCCTGTTTTCCAAATTTAGAAATGAATTTTCCCTCAAGATCAAACATTTTAATGGAATTATCACCGTAATCTGAGACTATAAAATATTGACCGTGTTGGATACAGTGAAAGGGAGCGACCAATGAACCTGCTCCACCAAACTTACGCAAACAGCTGCGACTAGAGGAGAATATCTTGATTAATTGGTTACCGGTATCAGCAACAATAATATCGCCGTTACCGTTTATTGATAAACCGCCAGGGAATTTAAGCTGATTATCGCGACTTCCTTGTTGACCAAACTTACTAAGAAAGTTACCATTCCTATCAAAGACTTGCACCCTGTGGTTACCAGAGTCTGCCACTACAATATTGCCATGACTATCAAAAGCGATCCCTGTAGGAGTCCAGAACGCACCATTATTCTTACCGTATCTACCAAACGATCTTAAAATTAAGTGGGTACCGTCACTACTAAACATTGAAACCCTGTCATTACCGCAGTCAGTCACAGCAACTTCATCCTGATCATTCACTGCCACTCCCCAGGGATATTTAAGCATTCCAAGAGACTCACCTTTTTGTCCAAATGACAGCACGGATCTGAAGCGCCTGGTTTGTATCTGCGCCTGAAGAGGACTGTCACGAACATTTGCCCCTTTATTCCCAGCAATTACTTTACTACTTTCTTTACCTTTAGCTCCTGATTGTTGCACTTTAGTTTCGGTTAAAACTGTTTTTACATTACCTATCCCTTCATTTTTCAACACGTTAATCAGTTTTTCACTTTTAGTAAAACCAAACCGAGGGATACAGTCAGTGTCACGGATTCCTTGGGTGCCCTGTTCCTGTAGGATTGCATCAAATGTTTCACTGAATCCAAGGATTTCAGTACTGAAGCTTCGTTTGAGAAGAGCTTTAGTTTGTTCAATTGCCGATTCAATTAATTTTACTTGATTTTCCACTTCATCTTTTTTGTGTGGGAGAGATTTCAGTGATGTTTTCACTTGATTATCGACTGCATCAAAAACATCCTGTTTCCTCGCTTCGATGATTGCAATAACTTGATCTACATGTGTCTTCACTTGTCCGCGCTCTTTTGGTTCAATTGCTCGAGGTCTTTTCGTTTTTCTTGTGCTTTTTCTGTTAAAGATTGAGTCATGGAGTTGATCTGAGTCTTGCGTGGTCTATACTGTCAAAGGCTTTGGATAGATCTAATAGTAGTAGTGCTGTTATCTGCTTTTTATCCATTGCTTCGAGTATCTTATCCGTGAGCAGGATGTTTAAGGTCTCTGTAGAATGAGCTTTTTTATTGCCGCTTTGGTGTGAGGTAAGGCGGTTGTTTTTGTGAGATAGGCGCTGAACTGATTCAAAACAATCCTTTCGAGGACCTTTGAAGCTACGGCTAGCAGAGATAACGGTCTGTTGTTGGCAGCTTTTTCATGGTCACCGTCTTTAAACTTGCGTTCTCACGAGAAAAGTCTCTTAGGCCTTTACTCTTTGTGATTTGCTCTAAAGGTAATGCTACACGAGAAGATTCGTAAGGACAATTTTTCCTGCAACACAGCATTGGAACGTTGAAACAATGTTGCAACCATTCGAAACAATGTCGCAGCAATGTTGTAATGCAGCATTGCGCTAAAAATCGTCGTTGCGCTGATCATCATCGTGTAACATCACCTTAACTCCCCGAAGTTTTTAAACTGCTTCTGGAATCTCTACAGCTCTTTGTGTTTGATGCGTAGCGGGATAAAAAACATTTAGTTTTTTGGTTCGCTGGGTTACTTCTGGCGCTAGCCTGTTCCAAGGTGGCACAAAATAGAGCGGAGGACCTCTGGAATAAGCTTTTCTGGCGCTAGCAGACTCGGCTGTGGCTGTAAGAAAGAACGACACCAAAACTATGAATGTACTTAAGGTAACCTGCGATCAGGCGTTTTTTTTAGAATAGAAGGAAAATTTCATTAACTAGACTACTGCTATTGCACCACGCGCACTTTCTTGGCATCTGGTTGAAATAGTGGTTCTTCTGTCCGCTCAGCTCGTCTGTTCACTACCTGAACATTTCAGTTAGACAATCATTAACCAGATCACTTTATATATTTTACTCAGTTGATAGGAGACACAACTGAACGCTCGCCTTGTTGGATCGCATTTGCCGCCGAGAACGCGTATTGAGTCGTCATGATTTCCCGTTCCCGACAGAGAGGGAAAAAAATCCCACATTCCGCGCCCTAAATTTTGGTGAATCCCGCTTCGTGGGTAGCAATCAACGAGGTTGTCAGTTGAGGTTTTGTGTCACAATCAGAAACGATCACAACTGACAATGACTGGTCGCCAGTAGCCTGTAAACAGACGTTGTTTTATTTTTCTTTTCGTTCTTTTCAAAAACATCGGCGAGCTCGCTCGCGAGCGCACGAGAACGAGCGGGGAGCGCGAGAAAGAAATCTCCCGCGGTTATATTTTATCACGCGCGGTCGACGGACTTTGAAGAGAAAATAGAGGGTCTGTGAACAGGCTAGACTAGGTCACCAGGGAAACAAAATTTACTGTTTCCCGAGGGACCAGTCTTTAAGTGATGTGTTATGTAGCTGGAAATTGTTACCCTCTGACGTCTTGATTTTTTTTGCATTGTACCCTCGCTCAGAGATTTTGTCTGGAAACAGTTTCATTGTTAGATGTCATGTGACCTCGGAGCAACCAATGAGACCGCGCGCTGTTGAGAAGAAATTTCCAGCGATAAAACAAAGCGACTGTAAGGATGTAAGTGATTACCCTAAAACCTCTTGTGATTATTATCCAAACCGTCATAAGGCAAGTATTTACTGTTTACTTGTCTAGATAGCGAATACAGCTCTCTCATTTTCCTCGCTCTTTGCGGCTAGGCAAACGTCCAAGAGCAGAGAGGAACGAGGATAGACGACTGTATTCGCAGGCTTGTACTTTTCGAAAAATGTCAAGAGATGGGTAGGTAGCCTAGGAACAGGGGGAAGGGGTGGGTAAGGGCAAAGAGATAACCTTTATGAGACGTTAGAAGGGGAGGGGAGGGGAAGAGCTTCTATTGTTTTAGTTGGTCTTAGTTGGCCCACCTCAAGTTTACTTAAATTCTTTTAAAAAAAAGCAGTTAATTGTTAAGCAGTGAAGCTGATAAGCTGAAAACACGCTGTGAAAAAATAAAGCTTAAAGTAAATAAGCAAGTATAGCAGATTCATCAACATACCTAGGCGGAGAACCTAAAAATAATAATGGCTCAGTCAAATTGACGTCCTTAATCACCTATTTAAACGGGCTCTCCCTCGATAAAAAACCTCGATGTATATTCAAAAGAAGTTGATGATATACTTTGAATACGTTATCAGAATTTCTAATTCGCACGAACCGTACAAAGAGTTACATCGACTACATCGACTAACCCGTGATTTTGTTTTTCAATTCAGTAGATTCAGTTTTTAAACGGCTACAGTTTGAATGATTAAAACTACTACTAAGAGTTTCATTTCTGCAATTGGAATGAGGCCGTCTTTGTAGCGACATATCCGGCTTTGAGCTGTCAAACAAGTTCTTGCCATGCGTAGTCAACTTTGTGCATGTATAATCAATTGAATGGATTATCGCCAGATAGACTGGGTGTGATTTCGCGCCGACTGACACTGTACTGACCAAGGAGACGAAGACGAATTTTTTTATCATCTGGACTAGACTTATATTCGTCTGGTTTATCTAACCTGCGAACACAGCCTTTTCTCCTCGCTCTTGTCAGCTACGGGCGTTTTACTTATTAAGATGTCAGTGGTGTGCACGTGTCCGGTGAGATCAAGAAGAAACTCTTTTAGAGGAAGAGAAAGGCGCGTCCACGAAAGGTGTACCGATTCTGGTCGATCAACTTTGAACAGGAGGAACCCTCAACGCCGCTACAATTGCTTTACGCACTTTCTTTTTTTTAGAACTTTGTATTTACTCAAGGAGACTATTGTTTTATCAGTGTTACCCACCTGGAATAGCTTCGCTAATTGTCGGTAACACGGTCATAAATTATTTTCAAATTCGATAAAGTGTTGTCGCTGTTCATGATACTGTTGTTGTTAAAGATTAAGAGGATGCTACCCCGTCCCCGGTCTTTTCTTTCTCCGGGGGGGGGGGGTGGGAGGACTCCGCATATGAAAGGGGTGGGGATGCTCGTAGGAAAATTTTGAATTAAACCCCTAAAAGAGACCGATCTGGGCGTGGCCCAAGCTTTTGTTGACCCCTAAAAGAGACTATGTTAAAACACAGACAATATACGTATACACATATATTTATATTTTTTTGCATGCAACCCTAAATGAGACCTTCACGGCTAAATATGATGGTGTTTTGCCCAGAACACCCTAAGTGAGACCAAAATCCGAAATTTACACCCCCTAAGCGAGACGATGAGCGCCCCCACCCTTTTCATATGCGGAGTGCCCCCCGGGTCTCTGTCTCTCTGTCTCTCCTTAGTGGCGCAAGGGGTGTGATCACCCCCTGCTCCCGCCGCGCGTTACACGAAGATGACTGGGGACGAGTCAAAACAGGAGCTTCAATTAGAACAATTATTGCAGTAAAACCTGCAATCATGAAATATTTTAGGTTAATTTCCTGACTGTAATTAAGTCATTTGCTCCATCGCTTGTCTTACAAATTTTCAATCATAATAAACAAAGAACCCCTTCCCACTTCAGTTTCAAGGCATGTAAAGCTGCATTTATTTGATAGCCAGCTTAAAAAGGAATGTTGAGTGCAACTCAAACCCTCAGTGGGACAATCGTCAAAAGTGTGTAGGGAGGACACTATTTTTTACCTCTTTTCCCCTTATTTCCTCTGCCCCTTCCCCAATGTAGACTGCAAAACAGTCACGTTATTTTTGCGTATTCAAGTACGCCGCGCGAGCAGTCCAAAAAAAGGTCTCATGTCATCATTATCACATTATTTCCCCGAGAAATATACAATACAAGACCATATTTCTAATACTAAACTAGAAAAAGGCGATCATGATTACACCGAAATACAGCACAAGGATCTTTTTTCCCATTACAATCTTATGCTAAGAAAACTTTAAGAAAAAATGTCCCGAAAAGCGCACGAAAATACAAACGAAATGTGCTCATGCCCCCTGGGCATCCTATAATACTCCTTAAATCTAATTAATTCGATATGGCCGTCGTATCGGTAAAAAGGTCTATTGTTTTGTTATATCCCTAACCTTACCAACTACTTTTGTCCAGGATCATCAGGTTACCAAGCGCATAAGCCACACTAGCGAACTTCGTGGAATAACTATTATTTGGAGTTTGGGGTGAATTTCTTGCTAAATCGGTCAGAGTATAAATTTCAACTCGACGAAAGCCTCAAAGGGGCGGACAGGGGGTTCGCTTGTAGCCCCCATAGTAAGGTACATAGGGGAGCAAGGGTGGCGCTGTAATGAGACAAAGTGGGAAGAGAGGCGGCCTTTGCTTTGCGATTTCCAACGCTACTGCTATCTTTGTTTAGTTTTCCTCTTAAGCGCTTGACACAGGAAGTCAAAAGCAAGACTGTTAAGTGGCGTTGTCGACTTTCCCGCGCACGTTATTTCATACAATTAGACCCATCGAATACAAGGAACAAAGCATTTACACGCTTGTTTATTTAGACAAAAAATCCACTTGCGTTATTTACAGGAAATAGTATTTTGTCATTCGAAGCACAACAACATTCGAAGCACAGCAAATTTTCTTTTTCCCCGGGGAATTTTCAAACCACGACAACATGAAGGAAAGTGAATTACAAATTTGAAACAACGACGACATAAATATTATTTCAAATATCATCTATGACATGTAAAAAATATAATAAGATAATAATGACTCACCGAAAGACATCTTTCGGGCGACCTTCAATAACAGAAACAGTAACAGTAACAGTAACAGTAACAACAGCAACATATGTTTTTCTTTTTTGTACATTAAATTGTCCCATTAAGATAAAATCAGTTTTAGGTTTTTAACCACTACTTTCGAAAACCATGTTTACACACATTGTGCTAACGGTCAACCCGAACAAGAAGAAGAAGATCGCAACTGTAAAACAAAACACGACTCTAAACTATGTACTTTTGCGTGTGTTCCCGTCTAGGTTAATGTAAATATCTTTTCTTTGCTTAATAAACTAAAATCTAAATAGTAAGAGATCGGCTGGTGCTGGCTACCTTCTTCCTTACTGAAAAAAGATAGAGGCCTCCTTTTATTGCTACAAATGAGTACGCCGAGCGAGCTGTCGAACAAAATATCTGGAGCGAGACTGGGGAGAGACGCTAAAACTACGCTAAACCGTCCGCTAAACCGATTTTGAGAAGAAAAAAAAACCCGACGGCTTGCAGTCTATGCCCAATGCTGTACAAAACTGAAGTGTTTGTGCGTATGTAATTGTTTTGTTATATCCCCAACCTTTCCAACTACTTTTGTCCCGAATCATCAGGTTACCAAGCGCATAAGCCACACTAGGGAACTTCAAGGAATAATTATCATCTGGAATTTGGGGTGGATTTCTTGTTAAATCCGATCGCAATATAAATTTCAACTCGCAGGGGTGGGGCAAGGGGTTCGCGTGTGGCCCCCTTTAGTAAGGTACCTAGGGCAGCAAAGGTGGCGCAGTAATGAGACAAAATGGGGGAAGAGGAGGCCTTCAGTAATTTCCAACGACACTGCTATCTTTGTTTAGGAAGCTAAAAGCAAGACTGTTAAGTGCCGTTCTTGACTTTCCCGCGCACGTTATTTCATTGAGACCCATCGAATAAAAGGAACAAATCATTTACACTGTTGTTTATTTAGACAAAAAAATCGACTTGAGTTATTGACAGGGAAAAGTATTTTGCTTTTTAAGGAATATGTACATCTGTTGCTACTGAAAAAAGGTAGGTAAAAACATGACGTTTAGTTACAAAACGTGAACCATTCAGGTTGTGCTCGCGGAACAGGTTAAAACACACTAAAAAATCACACTTACAAAAATGTAGGTAAATATTGAACAGTATAATATTTCTAGATATGAAGTAAAGTATTTGCAAATTAGTAATAAGTGAGCTTACAATGTAAGAGAAAAATACCTCAATTAATTGCTTTTTTTTTTTCACCAAAATAAACTGTGGATCTAGTCTATATATGCATGCAGTTTTTCTTTCCAAGTATTCCATTAACGCGCTTTAAACCCAACTTTTACACGACAGTGGAAATCCATATCATTTATGGCCAAAATATAGTTACAAGGAGAACATAATACATCAATTTCGACGAGTATCAAAACGTCTAAACAAAATAATCGCACAAAATTGATTTCCTCCAGAAATATGAACTGTGGATCTAATGATCAATATATGATGGTGAACTGGTGAATCTCAAGTCTTACATTAAAGGTAGGATTATTTCGCTCCTCGCCACTATTAGAAAGTTTCGCGGCAGAGACGTTTCCCACGAAAGGTCCCTAACGACGAGGAGCGAGGAGAGCCGGTTGTATTCGCAGGCGAGATTATTTTATTAATGCTCAAATACCTTGATTTGGTTGTTAAACATTTCACACACAACTATTCTTCCATCACTAAGAATTGCTGTAGACACTGGACAATTAACTTCTCCACTCTCACTACCTTCACTTCCAAAGTTTGTAACAAACTTTCCACTCATGATCAGTTCAAACACTTGAACTCTTTGATTCCCCCCATCACAAACCATTAGTAATCCTTCTTTGTTAACTGACAAGTAACGGGGCCAATCGAACTCTCCATCTTTGTTTCCCTGTTTTCCAAATTTAGAAATAAACTTTCCTTCCAGGTTAAACATTTTAATGGAATGGTCACCGCAATCTGAGACTATAAAATATTGACCATGTTGGATACAGTGATAGGGCTTGACCAAAGAACCTGCTCCACCAAATTTACGTAAATACTCCCCACTAGAAGAGAATATCTTGATTAATTTGTTACCCGGATCAGTAACAATAATATCACCGTTACCGTTTATTGATAAACCTTCAGGGTATTGAAGCTGATGATCAAGACTTCCTTGTTCACCAAACTTACAAAGAAAGTTACCATTCCTATCAAAGACTTGCACCCTGTTGTTAGCGCTGTCTGTCACTACAATATTACCATGACGATCAAAAGCGATCCCTCTAGGGAACTGGAGCTCACTATTGTTGTTACCCTCCCTACCAAACGATCTTAAGTGGGTACCGTCACTACTAAGCACTGAAACCCTGTGGTTCGAGTACTCAGTCACAGCAATTTCATCATGACCATTCACTGCCAAACCACAGGGCCCGTGAAGCATTCCAACAGACTTACCTTTTTGTCCAAATGACAGCACAGATCTGAGGCACCTGGTTTGTACCTGAGTCTCAAGAGGACTGTCACGAACATTTGCCCCTTTATTCCCAGCATTTACTTTACTACTTTCTTTATCTTTAGTTCCTGATTGCTGCACTTTCTTTTCGCTAGAAACAGTTTTTACATTACCTATCCCTTCACTGTTCAACACGTTAATCAGTTTTTCACTTTTAGTGAAACTAAACCGAGGAATACATTCAGTGTCACGGTTTTGTTGGGTGCCCTGTTCCTTCAGGATTGTATCAAATGTTTCACTGAATCCAAGGATTTCAGTACTAAAGCTTCGTTTCACAAGAGCTTTAGTTTGTTCAATTGCCGATTCAATTAATTTCACATGATTTTCAACTTGGTCTTTTTTCTGTGAGAGAGATTCCAGTGATTTCTTCGCTTGATTATCGACTGCATCAAAAACATCGTGTTTCCTCGCTTCGATGATTGCAATAACTTGATCCACATTCGTCTGCACTTGTCTTTTAAAGTCGGCAACTTGGAGTGTAATGTCCGTGCTCTTTTGGCTCAATTGCTCGAGTTCTTTGCGTTTTTCCTGTGCTTTTTCTATTAAGGATTGAGTCATGGAGTTGATCTGAGTCTTGCGCGCGTCTGTAGCTTCTTCCAAAAGCATCTTACCATGAACTTCATGGAGTGTTACAGCACAAGTGTTACAGATGGCGACTTTACAGTCCTTGCAAAAGAGCTCCAACTCTTTGTTTTCATGTCGTTTCTCTTTACAAAATGCCGGTCTCTTTAACACGGCTTCGATGTCCTGATCTTGAAAATCTTTCAGGGCCAGCGTTCTGTGTTTTTTATTGATGCGTATAATGTTATGTGCTAAAATACATTCCTCGCACCAGAAAGAACAACACTGGAAGCAATATAAGGTCTGGGCACTCCGTTTGTTGCAGTTTCCGCATTTCACATTTGCTGTACTGCACTCCTTTATAGCCAAGACATCTAGCAAACTGTTTATACGAAAATTGGTTGGAAGCTCGCTGGGATTTCCACTTCCAGCGATGTGAAACTGTCTCGTGCACTCGGGGCATGTAATTTTGCGATGGACGCCGCTCGTTCGTTGAATTCCATTCAGGCAGTGAAGACAGAAACTGTGCAAACAAGGCAGCTGCTTTGGATCAGTGAATGTACACATACACACAGAACAGGATACTTCATCATGAAGATTGCCAAGAAGGATCTTTATATCCATGGAAAAGGTCGAGAACAAACATGAAAGTTTTGAAATATACAGTAGGTGTGGTTGTCGATGATCGAGGAGGCGGCCATGCGGAACTAAGAATAATGAAAGCCTTTTCTTTCTAAACTATTGGCCGAGACTAACCTTTATTTTATTAGCCAATCAAATAAGGTGTTTTGACGTGTTTTGATGTTCTGACGTATTTTCAAAAGTAAAAAATATCCTTTACCTCTAATTGGCTTGTTTTCAAAGCATGGACTATTTTAAAAATATTTTATTAAACTTGTCAAATAATATTTTACATCACTGAAATAGATAAACTGTACTCGTGCAAGCTCGGATACATAAATACTGATCGTTTTCCTAGCTTCCAGATGAATCCGGAGCTTACACCAAATGAAAAGGGAAATCCTTTTGGATTTTAACTTTCTGAAGTCCTCTTTCTTGGGTTTCTGCACGAGTCATTCAGACAGGATATTAGCTAGATTTGAACTTGGAAAGATGTTTTTATTAAAAGATTATTTGGTTATGAAAAAATCTGACCGATTTTCATAAAACGGTAGAAGCCGGTGTGGATCCGCTCGCGCCTGATCGTGAAATTCTTAGCTACTCATTGAGCGCATCAGTTATACAGCTACCTTACTTCCTCTAATAATCGCCTCCCTCGAATAATCACTGTTCCCCCGTCCCTATCGCCATCTTCCCCTTCTCTTCCTTTTATCCCCTCCTTGTCAAGTTGAAGTGCAATGAGATTCAGTAAAACTGATCAGTGACGATTCAAGCTCTGGAAATTAGTCAACGAACTAAATTTGGAACACTTAAAAAGCCCATGTTCAGTTTATTAATGTGATTATTTTTTGATTTAATGGGAACATAAAACAAAATATTTAGGCCACGACTTCCAGAGAGCAATATTTGAAATAATTACCTCCCTCAAATAATCGCCTTCCCTGGATTAACTGCCCTCTTTTCGTCAGAAAAAAGAAATAATTGCCCCGACTATTATTCGAGGAAAAAAGATAATTTAAACTAATGGCCATATACTGTAAAACACCAATGATAGATCATCATTTTATTAGTTTTTGCTTGAACTTCTGATCTCTGCTGTGATATAGCCTCTTTACACTGAAATATCCTTTTTTCCCTACAGAGCTCGTCGAGCGAACGTAACGTTTGAAAATAGAGAAAATAATAAGTAAAGATGTTTTAGAGGGACGCACGTCAATCGTAAGCGGACTTTTTCCATGTTTGGGCTGTGGTTTTGCTCAACATTTTTCGAGCAAATCGCCTCTAAAAGAGTAAAGACACTATAAGTAGTACAAAATTGGTAACGTCAAGTGAAGGCAATTGAAAGGGAAAAGTTCTCACTTCCGGTTGACGAACATCGCTCAAAAACGCCGGCCGATACTGCAAGAGGGTGGGAGTGGGGAATGATCTCGCGCACGCTAATCGTCCAAATCACTCGGATACTAAATGAGTCATATGATAAAAAAAGTGGACCAACATGCTAGCTTTCATTGGTAGTTTCAAACCGAGAGTAAGTTTCGTGATTCAACTAGTGTTTCCAGAGTGACCATTTTTACAGGGACTGGAAGGGGGGATCTTGATTCCTTAATCATTCCCGCTACTTTTTTACGTTAATCCCGCATCCTGCACTTCTTTACGTTTCATCCTGTTTTTTGTTTCCAAACTGGAGACGTACGTTAACAAAGACTGATTTTGCTACAAAAGCTAACAAATGTAAGATTTAGATTGGTCCTTACGATGCCAAGGCTATTCCATAAAACAAATAGCTTTTTATATCTGAGTACGACGAAAGAGCACCATTTAACCGTGATAGGTCGTCCAGCTCATGCGCCTACGGACATCTAGTAGTTACCATCGAATGCCTGCGAATTAGCATCCACGGCTTCCCTGGATGACCTCTGGATAAGTGTATCAAACTCATATTGACACACAACTTGCGTTCTCATTGAGAAAAGTCCCTTAGACCTTTACTCTTTGTGATTTCCTCTAAAGGTAATGTCTGACACGAGACGATTCGCAAGGACGATTTTTCGCGCAACACAGCTTTGGAATGTTAATAAAACAATGTTGTAACCATTCGAAACAATGTCGCAGCGCTAGCAATGTTGTAATGCTGCTTTGCGCTAAAAATCATCGTTGCATTGATCGTCGTCGTGGAACATCACCTTAACGCCCTGAAGTTTCTAACAAAGAGAGAAGAAGAATCACGTGTCAGAAATTAAAGTGGCAATATTTCGAACCATGTCGCGAGTTTTCGTGAGTATCACTTCTTTTTAAAAAGTGTTTGACGCCTTTGTAGGGAGTTACCACGAACAGTTGGGACTGGTTTTAAATTACACTAGGACAACAACTTTAACTGAGTAGTCAGTAACTTATACCAGGATGTACGTGATAACCTAAAAACCTCGTGCGATCTCTATCCTCATCCATCGATGCAAGAGGTTACTGTTTACTCGCTTTTCTTGAATGTCATGAGATGGGTAGGCAGCCTATGAACACGGTTCTTGTTTTGGATGGGTAGGGTGGTTAGGGCGATAAAATAGCCTGAAAATGGAGTAGAAGAGAAGGAGAGGGGAAGTGTTTCATTGGCCTTTCCTTCCTGCCTTCACATCGCACATGCCAGTACTATACCAATTTCGATATCATGGTAAGATTTATTAACCAAATTATCAGCCCAAATTGTTTACTTTAACAAAAATAAAACCTAGATCTCATGGTCAATGTATAGTAGTTCAAATTCTCAAGTTAATTGCAACAAAGTTAAAATCGTATCATTCATAATCCAGATCATCAAACAGCTGGATTCGGCTGTTATTCATATCACACGATACAACTATATTTGCTGTGGACACTGGATTCCTAATAGACTACGAGTAGTCCCCCATTTTTCCTCAGGGATAATAGAGCAAGCGAAACGCGAGCGCGCGTGAAAATCACCCCACGCGAGAAAAGGCGACCATTTTTCTCTCTCCCCGCCGCGTATCGCCTTTCCTCGCGTGGGGTGATTTTCACGCGCGCTCGCGTTTCGCCCGCTCTACTATCCCCGAGGAAAAATGGGGGACTACTCGTAGTCTAGATTCCTAAAGTCTCCACACTAGCTAAGCCTTTACTTCCAAACTTTGTAACAAACTTTCCACTCAGTTCAAATACATGAACTTTACGATTTCTTTTATCAGAGACCATTAGTGATCCTTCTTTGCTGACTAGAAGTTACTATCGAATACCTGCGAATTGTTAGAATAAACGGCTTCCCTTGACGACCTGGATAAGTGTGTCAAACTCATATTGACACACAACTTGCGTTCTCATAACGAAAAGTCTCTTAGGCCTTTACTCTTTGTGATTTGCTCTAAAGGTAATGCCACACGAGACGATTCGTAAGGACAATTTTTCGCGCAACACAGCATTGGAATGTCTAAACAATGCCGCAGAAATGTTGTAATGCTGCATTGCGCTAAAAATCGTCGTTGCGCTGATCGTCATCGTGTAACATCACCTTAACTCCCTGAAGTTTTTTAAACTGCTTCTGGAACTCTACAGCTCTTTGCGTTTGATGTGTAGCGGGATAAACAACATTTAGTGTTTTCGTTCGCTGCGTTACTTCTGGCGCTAGCCTGTTCCAAGGTGGCACAAAATAGAGCGGAGGACGTCTGGAATAGGCTTTTCTGGCGCTAGCAGACTTGGCTGTGACTGTAAGAAAGAACGATACCAAACTATGAATTATGTACTTAAGGTAACCTACGATCAGGCGTTTTTTCAGAATAGAAGAAAACTTTCATTAACTAGACTGCTATTGCGCCACGCGTCCTTTAGCTCCCTTTCTTGGCATCTGGTTGAAATAGTGGTTCTTCTGTCAGCTCAGCTCGTCTGTTTACTTCTTGAATATTTCAGTTAGACAATCATTAATCAGATCACTATATATATTTTACTCAGTTGATTGGAGGCACAACTGAACGCTCGCCTTGTTGAATCGCATTTGCCGCCGAGAACGCGTATTTGAGTCGTCATGATTTCCCGTTCCCGACAGAGAGGGAAAAATCCCACATCCCGCACCCTAAATTTTGGTGAACTGCCCGCTTCCCGGGTAGCAGTCAACGAGGTTGTCAGTTGAGGTTTTGTGTCTCAATCAGCAACTATCACAACAATAATAAACACTTAATGAGTGGTCACCGAGGAAACAAATATAGCTGGAAATTGTTACTCTCTGACGTCTTGATTTTTTTGCATTGTTCCCTCGCTCAGAGATTTGGCGGGAAACAGTTTCATGTGACCTCGAAGCAATCAATGAGACCGCGCACTGTTGAGAAGAAATTTCCAGCTATAAAACAAAGCGACTGTAAGGATATAAGTGACTACCTTAAAACCTCTTTTGATCATTATCCAAACCGGCATAAGGCAAGTATTTACTGTTTACCAGCTACTTGTCTAGACTGCGAATAAAGCTCTCTCATTTTCCTCGCTCTTCGCGGCTAGGCAAACGTCCAAGGCCATGGAGAGGAGCGAGGATAGACGACTGTATTCGCAGGCGCGCTTCTACTTTTTGCAAAATGTCAACAGATGGGTAGGTAGCCTAGGAACAGGGGGAAGGGGTGAGTAAGGGTAAAGAGATAACCTTTATAAAAGGTTAGAAGGGGAGGGGAAGAGCTTCTTTTGTTTAGTTGGTCTTAGTTGGCCCACCTCAAGTTCACTTAAATTCTTTTTAAAAAAGCAGTTAATTGTTAAGCAGTGAAGCTAATTAGCTGAAAAGACGTTGTGAAAAAAATAAAGCTTAAAGAAAATAAGCGAGTATAGCAGGTTCATGAACATACCAAGGCGGAGAACCTAAAAATAGTAATGGCTCAGTCAAATTGATGTCCTTAATCACCTAATTAAACGGGCTCACCCTCGACAAAAAACCTCGATGTATATGAAAAAGAAGTAGATGATATGTTTTGAATACGTTATCAGAACTTCTAATTCGCACGAACCGTACAAAGAGTTACGTCGACTACATCGACTAACCCGTGATTTTGTTTTTCAATTCGGTAGTTAAACGGCTACAGTTTGAATGATTCAAACTACTACTAAGTGTTCCATTTCTGCAGTTGGAATGAGGCCGTCCTTGTAGCGACATATCGTTTTGAGCTGTCAAACAAGTTCTTGCCGTGCGTAGTCAACTTTGTGCATGTATAATTAATTGAATGGATTATCGCCAAATAGACTGGGTGGGATTTTGCGCCGACTGATACAGTACTGACAAAGGAAACGAAGACTATTTTTTTGTCATCTGAACTAGACTTATGGCACTTCGTCTGGTTTCTCTAACCGTGCGAACACAGCCTTCTCTCCACGCTCCTGTCAGCTTAAGGGGCGTTTTAGTGTTAAGATGTCAGTGGTGTGTACGTGTCCTGTGAGATCAAGAAGAAACTCTTTTAGAGGAGGAGAAAGGCGTGTCCACGAAAGGTGTACCGATTTTGGTCGATCAACTTTCAACAGGAGGGACCCTCAAGTCGCCGCTACAATTTGCTTTACGCACTTTCTTTTTTCTTTAGAACTTTGTATTTACTCAAGGAGACTATTGTTTTATCAGTGTTACCCACCTGGAATAGCTTCGCTAATTGTGGGTAACACGGTCATAAATTATTTTCAAATTGGATAAACTGTCATCGCTTTTGATGTTGTTGTTGTTAAAAATTAAGCGGATGTTGCCCCGTCCCCGGTGGTCTCTGTCTCTCTGTCTCTCCTTAGTGGCGCACTGTGGTGTGATCACCCCGTGCTCCCGCCACGCGTTACGCGAAGATGACTGGGGACAATTCAAAACAGGAGTCAAAACAGAGTCAAAAACAGGAGCTTCAATTAGAACAATTACTGTAATGAAACCTGCAATCATGAAATAGTTTCGGTTAATTCCCTGACTCTAATTGGTTCATTTGCTTCATCGCTTCTCTTACAAATTTTCGATCATAATAAACAAAGAACACCTTCCCACTTCAGTTTCAAGGCATGTAAACTGCATTTATTTGATAGCGAGCACAAAAGGGAATGTTGGGTGCAACTACAACTCTTGGGACAATCGTCAAAAGTGTGTAGGGAGGATACTATTTTGTACCTCTTTTTCCCTTGTTTCCTCTGCCCCCTGCCCAATGTAAACTGCAAAACAGTCACGTTGTTTTTGCGTATTCAAGTACGCCGCGCGAACAGTAAAAAAAAAAAGGTCTAGAGCCATAATCGCACAAAAGGGCGAGACTGGGGAGAAAAGCTAAAACTACGCTGAACCGATTTTGAGAAAAACAAACCCGACTTGTTTGCCAGTCAGTGTCCAATGCTGTACAAAACTGAAGTATTTGTACGCGTAATTGTTTTGTTATATCGATCTCCAGCCAGGTTACCAAGTGAAGAAGTCAAAGCGTACAAACCGCACTAAGGGACTTGGAATAATTATCATCTGGAGTTTGGTGTGGATTTCTTCTTTTATACTACTGCATGAGAAATTTCTGCAATTTGATTGGCTTAGAGCAGTGGTATTTCAGCTTAATTTGAAATACCTACATGTGAAAATTACAACCCTTTTGTGGGTAGTAGTATAAACAAATAATAGCATGATTTGTACGTGATATTTGGCATAAATACCACTCGTGACATTTCAAAATTGTTTCAAATTTCACTCGCCTAATGGCTCGTGAAATTATGTATAACGATTTTGAAATATCACTCGTGGTATTTATGCCAAATATCACTACAAATCATGCTATTACCTATACAAATCGGCCGCAATATAAATTTCAACTCGACGAAAAGCCTCAAAGGAGTTTGCTTGTAGCCGCCTTTGGAAAGGTATCTAGGAGAGCAAGGGTAGCGCAGTCATGAGACAAAATGCCGGGAGAGGCGGCCTTCGGCAATTTCCAACGCCACTGCTATCTTTGTCTAGTTTTCTCTTAAGCGAGACACAAGAAGCAAGGCTATTAAGTGGCATTGTCGACTTTGCTGCTTCTAGGGGCGGATCCAGAAAATTCAGACAGGGGTGGCCGGGACACTTGTCAGCTATATAGATACTTTTTATTTTTCTGATTTTCTATAAAAATGAAATAAAATTTCAAAGAAAAAGGGGTGACAGCGGCCTCCTCCCTCCCCAACCCCTAAATTCGCCCTTGACTCAGGTATGAGACATAAAATAAAGCAACAACGCATTTAGTTTACACTGTTGTTTATTTAGGCAAAAAGTAATCAGCTTGACTTGAGTTATTGACAGGGAATAGTATTTTTCTTTTTAAGAAATGTGTACGTCTGTTACTACTGAAAAAAGCTAAGTAAAAACATGCCGTTTAGTTACAAAATGTGAACCATTCAGGCTGTGCTCGCTATTGAACAGGTTAAAACACACTAAAAAATAACACTTTCAAAAATGCGGTAGGTAAATATTGAACAGTATAATACATTTCTAGATATGAAGCAAAGTATTTGCAAATTAGTAATAGTGTGAGCTTACAATGTAAGAGAAAAGTATCTCAATTAATTGCTTTTTTTTCACCAAAATAAACTGTGGATCTAATCAATATATTGCAGTTTTTCTTTCCAAGTATTGCATTTACGCGCTTCAAATTTAACTTTTACGCGACAGTGGAAATCTATATCATTTATGGGCAAAATATACTTACCAGTAGAACATAATACATCAATTTCGACAAGCATCAAAACGTCTAAACAAAATAATCGCACAAAATTGATTTTCTCCAGAAATATGAACTGTGTATCTAATGATCAATATATAATATTGAACTGATGAATCTCAAGTCTTACATCAAAGGTAGGATTATTTCTAGCTCCACGCTACAAATCTGTCTCACCTCGCTCCTCGCCGCTATTAGAAAGTTTCGCGGCAGAGATGTTTCCCGAAAAAGGTCCCTAACGACGAGGAGGGAGGAGAGACGGTTGTATTCGCTGGCAAAATTATCTCATTTATGCTTAAATACCTGGATTCGGTTGTTATGAAATTCACACACAACTATTCTTCCATCACTAAGATTTGCTGTAGAAACTGTGATCTTAAACTCCCCTCTGGCGCTACCTTGACTTCCAAATTTTGTAACAAACTTTCCACTCAGTTCAAATACCTGAACTTTGTCATTCGCCCTATCACAGATCAGACCATTGGCAATCCTTCTTTGTTAACTGACAAATAAGCGGGCCAATTGAACTCTCCATCCTTGTTCCCCTGTTTTCCAAATTTAGAAATAAACTTTCCCTTCAGGTTAAACATTTTAATGGAATGATCATCAGCATCTGAGACTATAAAATATTGACCGTGTTGGATACAGTGAAAGGGTTTGACCAAAGAACCTGATCCTGATTTAATTTACGTAAATACTCCCCACTAGAAGAGAATATCTTGATTAATTTGTTACCTTTATCAGCAACAATAATATCACCGTTACCGTTTATTGATAAACCTTCAGGGTATTGAAGCTGATGATCAAGACTTCCTTGTTCACCAAACTTACTAAGAAAGTTATCATTCCTGTCAAAGACTTGCACCCTGTGGTTTCCAACAGTCTGCCACTAAAATATTGCCAAGACTATCAAAAGCGATCCCTGAAGGTAGTTTAAGCTCACCATAATGCAGACCCTCCCTACCAAACGATCTTAAGTGGCTTCCGTTACTACTGAACACTGAAACCCTATGGTTCCAGAGCTCAGTCACAGCGATTTCATCCTGATCATTCACTGCCAAACCACAGGGCCAGTTAAGCATTCCAACAGACTCACCTTTTTGTCCAAATGACAGCACAGATCTGAAGCGCCTGGTTTGTACCTGAGCCTCAAGAGGACTGTCACGAACATTTGCCCCTTTATTCTCAGCAATTAATTTACTACTTTCTTTACCTTCAGCTCGTGATTTTTGCGCTTCAGTTTCGCTAAAAACAGTTTTAACTTTACCTATCCCCTCACTATTCAAAACATTAATCAGTTTTTCACTTTTAGTGAAACTAAACCGAGGAATAAATTCAGTGTCACGGTTTTCTTGGGTGCCCTGTTCCTGAAGGATTGTATCAAATGTTTCACTGAATCCAAGAATTTCAGTGCTAAAGCTTCGTTTGACAAGAGCTTTAGTTTGTTCAACTGTCGATTCAATTAATTTCACTTGATTTTCAACTTCGTCTTTTTTCTTTGAGAGAGATTCCAGTGATTTTTTTCGCTTGATTATCGACTGCATCAAAAACATCCTGTTTCCTCGCTTCGATGATTGCAATAACTTGATCCACATTCGTCTGCACTTGGCTTTTAAAGTCGGAAACTTGTAGTTTAATGTCCGTGCTCTTTTGGTTCAATTGTTTGAGTTCTTTGCGTTTTTCTTGTGCTTTTTCTATTAAAGATTGAGTCAAGGAGTTGATCTGAGTCTTGCGCGCGTCTATAGCTTCTTCTAAAAGCATCTTTCCGTGACCTTCATGGAGTGTTACAACACAAGTGTTGCAAATGGCGACTTTATAGTCCTTGCAAAAGATTTTCAACTCTTCTTTTTCATGTCGTTTCTTCTGACAAAATGCCGGTCTCTTTAACACGGCCTCGATGTCTTGATCTTGAAAATCTTTCAGTGCCAGCGTTCTGTGCTCTTTATTGGTGCGTATTATGTTATTTCCTAAAATAAATTCCTCGCACCAGAAAGAACAACACTGGAAGCAATATAAGGTCTGGGTGCTCCGTTTGTTGCAATTTCCGCATTTCACGTTAGCAGTGCTGCACTCTTTTATTGCCAAGACATCTAGCAAACTGTTGATGCGAAAACGAAAATTAGTGGGAAGTTCGCTAGGATTTCCACTTCCAGGGATTTGAAACTGTCTCCTACACTCGGGGCATGTAATTTTGCCATGGACGCCGCTCGTTCGTTGAATTCCGTTCAGGCAGTGAAGACAGAAACTGTGCAAACAAGGCAACTGCTTTGGATCAGTGAATGTACACATGCACACAGAACAGGACACTTCATCAGGAAGATTGTCCAACAAGGTCTTTACATCCATGGAGGGAAATGTGGAAAAAAAGCTATTTAAATCTTGAAATACCCAGCTCTTGGAAAGTGAAAGAATTACTAACTGTCTTTTGACTCAGACTGAACTTTACTTTCATCAACCAATCAAACGGAGTTACTTGACGAATTTATGATTTCTGACGTCTTTCTGAAGAATCTATAAACATCCTGTATTTCTGAGAATCGTTTATCTGTTTACAAAGCAAGAACCGACTGAAATGTTTTATAAAACCTATTAAATTATATTTTACACCACTGACCGAGTCTCTACACGTAAAGCTGGAGCACCCAACGTAAATTTTCGGAAAATATCTGTTCGGAAGCCGATTTGAGATCTAGAATTTTCGGAACATTTATTGTAAAATTTCTTGCTTGCCTGCCTCTCCTGGGATTTTCGAACATCTAAAAAATGGAAATGCCCCTTTTTAACGGATTTTTACCCTAAAAAGGTCACCTAGAATTTTCGGGAGCCTTTTTTCTGGCTGAAATTTTCGAAAAGGTAAGTTTTGATCCCTATAATTTTCGGATCACTAGACTTTCACAGAGCTAGGAAATCCGAACAGATGAAAAATTTTTATGGGATAAAAATATGCCTATATCTACCGTTTAAATACTAAAATACGTTCAACAATGCTATGTTTAAATGGTTTTGAACTATTTTCTCGTTGGGTGCCCCTCGTAAAGTTCGTATAAGCGGGAGCCCATAATTGCGGGAACATTTCGACCAACTGATATTAAGGCCATATAACAAACAAAATTTGTTTGTTTTTGTCAATATTTATTCACCAAACAAGACAAACGACTAAGTGCTCTTTTTTGAAGAAATTCAAACACAGCTCGATGAATTAGAACTAGAGAAAAACTGTGAGATGATCACTGAAGGTGACTTTAACACTTTAAATCCTAACACCGCATATAGTATGCGTAAAAAATACTGTACATGCGTTAACTATTTGTTTCTTGTTTTACTTTAGTCACAACCTATTGGACATTCATACGTAGCACTATATGGTAGATTTTGCAATTATGAAAGTAAATAAACCAATTACAACTCCCAATTTCGACCTTTATATCACCGTTCGTTTTGAAACTGTCTCGCCTGCATTCCGGGCATGTGATTTTACCATGGACGCCGCTCCGCGTTAATTCGTTGAGGCAATGAAGACAGAAGCTGTGCAAACTAAGGCAACTGCTTTGGATCAGTGAATGTACACATACACACAGAACAGGATACTTCATCATGAAGATTGTCAGTTAAGGTCTTTTTATCCATGGAAAAGGTCGAAAACAATCGGTGAAATACTGTCTAGGTTGGACTTGCCAGTCCGGATGATCGAACTTAGTTATATGCCGTGGTAAAGAAAGAACGGGATTTTTGTATTGTCACCCCTTTTTTTACAGTTTTAACCGATCAAACAGAGGTCCTTGACTTATACGTATTTCTAAGAAGCCAGAATATTCTTATGAAAGTATGAACTACTCTTCTCAAACTCATTAATAATTCATTAAGAAAATACAAAGGAAATTAATGTTTAATGAGTGTTTGGAAATCGGATGAAACACTGCTTAGTATTTGCATCCTTAATTTCTCCTTCAAAAATGATTTTTTTTGAGAAGAAATATCAAACATTCGACACAGTGTTTCATCACCAGATGAAACACCTCGAAGTTCTTCAAAAATACTCCGCTGCGCGTCGTATTTTCAACTCTCTTCTCGGTGTTTCATCTGGTGATGAAACACTGCATCTCATGTTTGATATATTACATAAAGTGTTTTTTAGAATTGACTTTTGTCCGGAGACCGAGTTATTGTACATTACAATCAGTATATACAGTATATACACCGTAAAATCCGTTGCTAGGAGACGTGCGCTTATTAGATATCTGTATTTCTGATTTTCGTCTTGCTCTTAGCTTCTTCTGGTCGCTACTAATTTACTGATCAAAGTCATCGAAGATAGTCTTTTTAAATTCGTGAATCTGTTCACGAATTTAAAGTGAACGACGCCAGTTGGTTCGTGTGGTTAGTTGTTCGAGTCTGGTCGAGTGTTGTAAACTTTCATAGTACGCAAATTTAATAGGGCACATAGTGATCGAGCATGCGGTGTCATTCTTTATGGTATGGGAGCATGTGAATATAAAGACGGACCATATAAGAATCAACCGAGTTCTGAGCCGAGTAACCATACCGCTAACATAAACATAGCTTACATACTTTAGAAACCGTGTTGCAAGAAGTTGCAAAAAATTTTTGCGTTTTAAGTTTTTCGATTTTGCGAGCTATCGGCAGAAATGTAATGTTGAAAAGTAATGTTGGACAAACTTCATATAATAGTAGATTTCTTCATGGTTAATATTCGTACATGATCTCGCACATCTGGAACCAGTTGCCATCTGCTGTAAAAAACGCACCTAATGCATCATCCTTTCGGAGACTTTTAACTAAGTTAAATTTTATCGGCTGTCAATGCAGCATTTGCCTTTGACCCGATTTATTTTTATAGATGGATGTTATTATTTTTTTAAGTTAATTGGTTGCTATTGAGATATTAATTTATTTATTTTTCTTTTATATTGTCAAACACTTTTATCATGAGCCCGTGGCTCGGGGGATTGGGAGACCACTGACCCCCTGTGTACCTGACATTAAATAAATTATCTTATCTTATCTTATCTTAAATAAGCTCCCCCCCAAAAAATACCCCAAACATTTTTGGCGCAAAAATTTAGTCGACAGTAAATCTGATTCTCTTACTTAAATTCGCTACACAAAAACACAGTACTAAGAAATGTTGTCTGTCAATTTCACCTTGTTGCTGAGTGGAGTGTGACAAAAGAAAAGTAACCTGCTCTACTGGTTTTACACAGGGTAGCACGCTGTAGAGTTGTTTAAAAATATGTTTTTCGATTGCACGTACTCAACAAAAACAAAAATATTTAACAATTATTTATTTGACGATGCAAAATATCGTCATTTTCTGCGGCGAGCGGATCAATTATTTGCCGAAGCCGTGTGAGGGCTTAAACTGTCAAACAAGTTCTTGCTGAATTGCATCTTTGTGTAGATAATAAATTTCCGAATAAATTACCGCCAGTCGGGAGATAAGGCTGAAAACGGAGAGCAAGACTGGGGAGATACGCTAATTAACTACGCTAAACCTAGAAAAAATCCCGACTGTTTTGCAGTCTATGCCCAATGCTGTACAAAACTGAAATGTTTGTGCGCGTAATTGTTTTGTTATATCCCCAACTTTCCCGACTACTTTTGTCTGGGATTGCAGGTTACCAAGCGGTAAGCGGATCCAGAAAATTCAGAAAGGAGTCGCCGGGACCCTCTCCAGCTATATAAACTGAGAATTCTATAAAAATGATACAAAATCTCAAAGAAAAAAGGAGTGGTCGCGGCTTCCTCGTCCCCACTGCCCCCACTAAATCCGCCTCTGACTATTAGGAGACATTGGATACAAGGAACAAAGCATTTACACTGTTGTTTATTAAGACAAAAAATAATCCACTTGAGTTATTTACAGGGAATAGTATTTTGCTTTTTGAGAAATATGTACATCTGTTACTACTGAAAGAAGCTAAGTAAAAATAAGCCGTTTACTTACAAAATTGACAACTCAGGCTGTCCTCGCTATTGAACAGGTTAAAACCCATTCAAAAATCACACTTTCAAAAATGTATGTAAATATTAAACAGTATAATATTTCTAGATATGAAGTATTTGCAAATTTATTTAGTAATAATGTGAGATTACAATGTAAGAGAAAATCATCTCAATTAATTGCTTTTTTTGGAACTAATCAATTCAACATAAGCTAATATATGCTGCAGTTTTTCTTTCTAAGTATTGTATTTACGCGCGTAAATAAAATAGAGGCAATGCAAGGAAGGTGCCGCCGGTGTAAACTGAACTTTTACGCGACAGTGGACTGATCCATATTATTTATGGACAAAATATATTTACAAGTAGAACATACTACGCCAATTTCGACATATCAAAATGTCTAAACAACGAAAATAATCGCACAAAATTGATTCCTCCAGAAACATGAACAGTGGAGCTTAAATGATCAATGTATAATAGCGTGACCTGAATCTCAAGTCTTTCTTCATCAAAGGCATAGGCGTACGGGCTATTTTTTGCCAGGGGGGGCGGTAAACCATTTGCCCAAAAAATTTTTGCAAGTTGCCCAAAACAGTCGAACAGAAATTAGGGCAGATGCAACAACATAGGCCGTACTGGCATATGAAAATGGCTCGATACAGTTTTTCACGGTCAATACCTGCCAAGTTTGAGCATAAACTACGTCGCCATAAACAAACATTTGTAAAAATTGCCACCACAGTTGTATTGATAAAGATGAAATTTGTTGTGATCAGGGTTGCAATGACATCAGAGTTGTCATAGCAACGAAATGAAGGCATTACCTATTATAATTGCAGCAATATTTCTCTGTGGGAACTGTTCTTCTAAAATCGATCACAGGAGCTTTTTCCTCCCATAGACGCCTCAATGTTCGTGAAGTTAAAACGGAATCTGTAAGAGCGTTATCGAGTCATTTTGGGATAAAGTTTTTTATCGTTGGAAATACGGTACAAAAAAGGAAAATCCTGATGTTTGGCCGTTATCTGTAGAAAACGATGCGCTTTTGACATGCAATTTCACTTCATAGTAGTTTCAATCTTTTTAAAAACGTGGGTGAAAGATCATGGAGATAGCTTCGGCCAATTGCTACAAGGAAGGATTTGATTAGTATGTAGCATGGCGCTCTTGTTAGCGGTTTTGTAAACATTTCAGTCTACTGCTAGCTGTAACAAATTAGTGAATAATTTTTAAACCGCTCAATAGAGTTTTTTGAAAAAATTAAGATTCTTCTCGCATTTCAAACTGTGAATTAGTCAGCCACATCTTCACTTTCGGACCCATTGCTGATGCTATCTGCCATACACTGTTCTACGAGCGGAGATGATTCTAGAAAGTTAGGCGAAAGTTGATTGTAATAAATTCACGAGTGGAAATAGCCCATTGCAGTACAGTGCCCAACACTAAAAAAAATCAGCATATGATACCTCTCCCTTATAGCCAGTAACTTGTCACCTGCTAGGCCGCCACTGGATTATAACGCCGACTTCAGGTTAAAATAGAAAATATTTATCTCTTCATAATAATAATAAAAACATGGGGACGTCTTTAAAAACTGGCTTTGCCCAAATTTTCTCGTGTTGCCGAAAAAATCTGAGTTGCCCAAAATTTGGGGGGCTGCAGCCCCCCCCCCCGGCCCGTACGCCTATGATCAAAGGTAGGATTATTTGTAGCCCGCTGTGAATACAGTTGACTCTCCTCGCTCATCGCCGTTATTAGGAAGTTTCGAGGCAAAGACGTTTTCCGCTAAAGGTCCCTAACGACGAGGAGCGAGGAAAGACGGTTGTATTCGCAGGTTATGGATTATTTCATGTATGCTCAAATACCTGGATTCGATTGTTATTCCCATCACACACAACTATTCTTCCATCACTAAGAATTGCTGTAGAAATTAGATTCTTCATCTCTCCTCTCCCGCTACCTTCACTTCCAAATTTTGTAACAAACTTTCCACTCAGTTCAAATACTTGAACTCTGTGATTTTGTGAATCACAGACCATTAGCAATCCTCCTTTTTTAACTGACAAGAAAAGGGGCTGATTGAACTCTCCATCCTTGTTCCCCTGTTTTCCAAATTTAGAAATAAATTTTCCCTCAAGATCAAACATTTTAATGGAATGATCACCGTAATCTGAGACTATAAAATATTGACCATGTTGGATACAGTGAATGGGAGTGACCAATGAACCTGCTCCACCAAACTTACGCAAAAAGTTGTGACTAGAGGAGAATATCTTGATTAATTTGCTACCGGTATCAGCAACAATAATATCACCGTTACCGTTTATTGATAAACCTTGAGGGAATTTAAGCTGATTATCAGGTCTTCCTTGTTCATCAAACTTACTAAGAAAGTTACCATTCCTATCAAAGACTTGCACCCTGTGGTTATAACAGTCTGCCACTACAATATTGCCATGACTATCAAAAGCGATCCCTGTAGGGAAATTGAACTCACCATTATTCTTACCCTTCCTACCAAAGGATCTTAAGTGGGTACCATCACTACTAAACACTGAAACCCTGTGGTTACTGTGCACAGTCACAGCAATTTCATCCTGATTATTCACTGCCACCCCCCAGGGACTCTTAAGCATTCCAAGAGACTCACCTTTTTGTCCAAATGACAGCACAGATCTGAAGCGCCTGGTTTGTACCTGAGTCTCAAGAGGACTGTCACGAACATTTGCCCCTTTATTCCCAGCTATTACTTTACTACTTTCTTTACCTTTAGCTCCTGATTGTTGCGCTTTAGATTCGCTGAAAACAATTTTTAAATTACCTATCCCTTCATTGTTCAACACGTTAATCAGTTTTTCACTTTTAGTGAAACTAAACCGAGGAATACATTCAGTGTCACGGTTTCCTTGGGTGCCCTGTTCCTGAAGGATTGCATCAAATGTTTCACTGAATCCAAGGATTTCAGTACTGAAGCTTCGTTTGAGAAGAGCTTTAGTTTGTTCAATTGCCGATTCAATTAATTTTACTTGATTTTCCACTTCATCTTTTTTCTGTGAGAGAGATTTCAGCGATTTTTTCGCTTGATTATCGACTGCATCAAAAACATCCTGTTTCCTCGCTTCGATGATTGCAATAACTTGATCTACATGTGTCTGCACTTGGCTTTTTAAGTCGGCAACTTGCAGTGTAATGTCCGTGCTCTTTTGGTTCAATTGCTCGAGGTCTTTTCGTTTTTCTTGTGCTTTTTCTTTTAAAGATTGAGTCATGGAGTTGATCTGAGTCTTGCGTGCGTCTGTAGCTTCTTCCAAAAGCATCTTTCCGTGACCTTCATGGAGTGTTACAACACAAGTGTTGCAAATGGCGACTTTACAGTCCTTGCAAAAGAACTCCAACTCTTTGTTTTCATGTCGTTTCTTCTGACAAAATGCTGGTCTCTTTAACACGGCCTCGATGTCCTGATCTTGAAAATCCTTCAGTGCCAGCGTTCTGTGTTCTTTATTGATGCGTATAATGTTATGTGCTAAAATACATTCCTCGCACCAGAAGGAACAACACTGGAAGCAATATAAGGTCTGGGCGCTCCCCTTGTTGCAATTTCCGCATTTTACGTTAGCTGTGCTGCACTCTTTTATTGCCAAGACATCTAGCAAACTGTTGATACGAAAATTGGTGGGAAGTTCGCTAGGATTTCCACTTCCAGGGATTTGAAACTGTCTTCTGCACTCGGGGCATGTAATTTTGCCATGGACGCCGCTCGTTCGTTGAATTCCGTTCAGGCAGTGAAGACAGAAACTGTGCAAACAAGGCAACTGCTTTGGATCAGTGAATGTACACATACACACAGAACAGGATACTTCATCATGAAGATTGTCCAGCAAGGTCTTTATATCCATGAAGAAGATGGAAAGCAAATTAAGTTTTAAAATACTCTGAGACGTAGTCGGTTGGCACTCCCAGAAACCGCAACAAACAAGTGTTGTCTTATGACCCAGACTAAAGCATATTTTGGCAACCAGTCAAATGGTGTCTTGAGGTGTTTAAAGTTTTGATGACCTGAGAGAATCCAAAAATAACCTTGATTTCTGAGAAATGATAATCTGTTTACAAATCATGAACTTTTTAAAATATTCATCAAACCACCGATAGAAGACAGATCGAGATCGAGAGTACAGTGAAACCCCGATAATACGGTCGCGGTCACCATGTATCCATGGGCCAAAACATTTGGCCGTATTAATGAGTGACCGTATTAACTAGGGTTTTTTTTACACGGAAATGAATGGCCGTTTTGCTGGGTGGCCAAAAAAAGTGGCCGTGTAGTAACGAGGTGACCGTAAGGCGGGCCGCTCCACTTTACTGGGCTTAGTCAGGCTACTCAATCAGGCTACCCAATCAGGCTACCCAATCAGGCTACCCAACTAATTTTAAAATCATTCATATGCATTCAGCAACAATTATATGATGTTTTATGAGAATTTATTCTTTGCCTATTAAAAGTGTGAAATGTACATTAGATTTCTCTTTTAAGCTTATTTTCAGCGGTTTTTTTGTGTTTATTTGTTTCTTGGTTTTGTTGACCAGGCCTTTAAGGCGCGTTTATATAAATGGCTTTTTTAGAAACAACGGTTTATTACTTAGATGACCGAAGAGAGGTGGAAGAATCCTGAGTCCTGTCGTTTCATTGGCAATATTTCAATCTCTTGAGTGACTGTTCACTTTTTTTAAAAAAATGTTCGACGCCTTTTTAGGGCGTCCTGGTGGTACACTGTCATTACAAACAAAAACAACAGAAGTAAGAAATATATACATGGTATTATCAACAAGTGATTAGTTTAGTGTCACTGCTTCGTCCCCAGCGCTTCTTTGGCAGCCACTTGGACGCCTCCCTTTACCGACTCTTGAACATTCTCCACTGACTCCATCTTTCGAGGGGCGACAGCAGGCAATTAGAGTGAAGCCGAACGGACAAACGGTGCTATTTCTGATGCTCTTGTGGATGGTGCAACTCTAGAGTGCGAAATGTATAGGAGATTTGAAGATCTTTCAGAAGAGGAAATCAAGAGAATGTCACTTCAGTCATACTGAAGGATCAGACAGAATGCAACCTAAATACCTTAACACCTCATATCTATATTTTCGTCTGAACACACTTATATACTTAAATAAACGACTTTTTTCTTTATTTCTTAAAATGCCGCCTAGTATTTAAATTACCCGTGGGGGGAAATCTCTATTCCTCATAAGCTCGGCTTCTCGGAGATTTCCCCGCCACAGTCACTCCTCCCAAGTAATGCACAAATTTTAAATTTAATGTTAATTAACCTATTTATTATCGTTTTTATTCTGCTTGTAATTCATTGTGTGTAGCAAAATAATAAAATAAAATAAAATAAATAAAAGAATACGAAAGGAAGCGGATGAAGAAAAATGCCTTGTATACGTATGCAGTCAGGTTGCCGAGAGGATTGATGACGCCCCTGTTCTTAAAGACTACATTAAGAGTAAAGTGAGTGAGTTTCCTGAGGAACTGTTCTTATTCCCTGGTGCAGCATACCTCAGAAAGATCGAATCGTTTATGGAAGACCACTTCATCCGTGGAGAGCTCTTAATGAAATTCTGTCGTGGTGCATGCCTGCAAAGAGGAGACCTCCAATCTCTGTTCTTGGTGTTCTAACAGTATAGATGGGTGGGACCAGAGACAGAAAGAATTCCGCAACCTGTACCAGACCCAAACAATCGGGGACATTTCATGGATGTCTTTCAGACGGAATCGACAGGCAGGACACCGGATGACTATCTCCCGAGAAAATGTTTGAGGGACTTGCATGAGGAACTATTCTGTCAGTGTCATAAACGATGGAGATTCCATCAAGAGCTTCTGTTCAAAATACAATGTTGATGTGAAGCATGTTATTACATAATATTAATCGCCTTAAAGAATAATAATATGAGAAAAGACATTAGAACAACTGAAGCTGAGGAACGAAAGAGGCAAGAGGCGGAACGGACATACAAGGATTTCACTTCGCCGCACGAGTTTATACTGTATCGGCCTAGTTGGGCTGCCACTCTTTAAATGCGATGAAATTCGTTTACGTTGGGGTTTCACTGTCAAAACAACAGTTATTCTTCTGAAAAATGTCTTTGAATAGGGCTCGATCAACTTTGAACAGGTCGCACTGGCAGAAAATCTAGCGGAAAGGTTTTTATAATATATTTTCATAGGTTTTCACAGTGTGTTCCAGGTGGCCTAGTGGAAAAGCTATGGCCCGGCCCTTTGAACTGGCCTCCTTGATTACGGGCTGTACCCATTTTCTTTTTTTCTTCTTCTTTTCTTTTATTCCTTTTTCTTTAGTTTTCTTTTCAGTTATTGAAGTTGTTTTGTTTCTTTATATAGCCAAAGTTTTTAGATTTATAAATTTTCTTTACTATTGACTTATTTCCATTTCAACTTCTTGCCGTTCCCCGGAAGTCCCTCGCGAGGTCCTGCGATTCACGTATTTCTAGTATAGCTTTGTATTTAATTTATACTAAGCCTTATGCTTATGCGCAAGTGAAAACCAGGCTATACCGTTTACTCGCTTTTCTTAATGTCATGCATGGGCAGGCAGCCTATGAAACCAGTTCTTGTTTGGGGAGTAGGGTAGGGTGGTCAGGGCGAGAAAATAGGCTGAAAATGGAGTAGAAGAGGAAAAGAGGGGGGGAGTGTTTCATTGCCCCTCCCTTCCCTTGACATTGCACACGCCAGTACTATAGCAATTTCGATTTCATGGTAAGATTTATTATATTAACAAAATTATCTCACAAAATTGTTTTCTTTAACAAACATAAAATCTACTGAGATCTTATGATAAATGTATAGTAGTTCACATTCTCAAGTATCTTGTACAACAAAGTTAAAATCGTGTCATTCATAATCAAACAGCTGGATTCGGTTGTTATTCGTATCACACACAACTATCCTTCCATCACCAATATTTGCTGTACATACTGGATTCCTAAACTCTCCACTCTCGCTACCTTTACTTCCAAACTTTGTAACAAACTTTCCACTCAGTTCAAATACCTGAACCCTGTGATTTCTTTCATCACAGACCATTAGTGATCCTTCTTTGCTGACTAGTAGTTACTATCGAATACCTGCGGATTTTTAGCATAATCGGCTTCCCTGGACGACCTGCGTAAGTGTGTCAAACTCATATTGACACACAACTTGCGTTCTCATTGAGAAAAGTCTCTTAGGCCTTTACTCTTTGTGATTTGCTCTAAACGTAATGCTACACGAGACGATTCGTAAGGACAATTTTTCCTGCAACACAGCATTGGAACGTTGAGACAATGTTGTAACCATTCGAAACAATGTCGCAGCAATGTTGTAATGCTGCATTGCGCTAAAAATCGTCGTTGCGCTGATCGTCATCGTGTAACATCACCTTAACTCCCCGAAGTCTTTAAACTGCTTCTGGAATCTCTACAGCTCTTTGTGTTTGATGCGTAGCGGGAGAAAAAACATTTAGTTTTTTGGTTCGCTGCGTTGCTTCTGGCGCTAGCCTGTTCCAAGGTGGCACAAAATAGAGCGGAGGACGTCTGGAATAGGCTTTTCTGGCGCTAGCAGACTCGGCTGTGGCTGTAAGAAAGAACGACACCAAAACTATGAATGTACTTAAGGTAACCTGCGATCAGGCGTTTTTTAGAATAGAAGAAAAATTTCATTAACTAGACTACTGCTATTGCACCACGCGCACTTTCTTGGCATCTGGTTGAAATAGTGGTTCTTCTGTCCGCTCAGCTCGTCTGTTTACTTCTTGAAAATTCAGTTAGACAATCATTAACCAGATCACTATATATATTTTGCTCAGTTGATAGGAGACACAACTGAACGCTCGCCTTGTTAAATCGCTTTTGCCGCAAGAACGCGTATTTGAGTCGTCATGATTTTCCGTTTCCGAAAGAGAGGGAAAAAATCCCACATCCCGCGCCCTAAATATTGGTGAATCGCGCTTCCTGGGTGGCAGTCAACGAGGTTGTCAGTTGAGGTTTTGTGTCTCAATAAGCAACGATCACAACAATAATAAACACTGGTCACCAGGGAAACAAAATTTACTGTTTCCCGAGGGACCAGTCTTAAGTGAAGTGTTGTGTGATTTTTTTGCATTGTTCCCTCGCTCAGAGATTTTGGCGGGAAACAGTTTCATTGTTAGATGTCATGTGACCTCGAAGCAACCAATGAGACCGAAATTTCCAGCTATAAAACAAAGCGACAGTAAGGATATAAGTGATTATTAAAATAAATACCTTAAAACCTCTTTCTCTTTTGATCATTATCCAAACCGGCATAAGGCAATTATTTACTGTTTACCAGCTACTTGTCTAGACTCATTTTCCTCGCTCTTTGCGGCTAGGCAAACGTCCAAGAGCAGAGAGGAGCGAGGATAGACGACTGTATTCGCAGGCTTCTACTTTTCGCAAAATGTCAACAGATGGGTAGGTAGCCTAGGAACAGGGGGAAGGGGGTGGGTAAGGGCAAAGAGATAACCTTTATAAAACGTTAGAAGAGGAGGGGAGGGGAAGAGCTTCTATTGTTTTAGTTGGTCTTAGTTGGCCCACCTCAAGTTTACTTAAATTCTCTTAAAAAAAGCAGTTAATTGTTAATCAGTGAAGCTAATAAGCTGAAAACACATTGTGAAAAAATAAAGCTTAAATCAAATAAGCGAGTATAGCAGATTCATAAACATACCCAGGCGGGGAAACTAAAAATAATAATGGCTCAGTCAAATTGACGTCCTTAATCACCTATTTAAACAGGCTCACTCTCGACAAAAAACCTCGATGTATATTCAAAAGAAGTTGATGATGTATTTTGAATACGTTATCAGAACTTCTAATTCGCACGAACCGTACAAAGAGTTACATCGACTACATCGACAACCCGTGATTTTGTTTTTCAATTCAGTAGATTCAGTTTTTAAACGGCTACAGTTTGAATGATTCAAACTACTACTAAGTGTTCCATTTCTGCAGTTGGAATGAGGCCGTCTTTGTAGCGACATATCGTTTTGAGCTGTCAAACAAGTTCTTGCCGTGCGTAGTCAACTTTGTGCATGTATAATTAATTGAATGGATTATCTCCAAATAGACTGGGTATGATGTCGCGCCGACTGATACAGTATTGACCAAGGAAACGAAGACTATTTTTTTGTCATCTGAACTAGACTTATGGCACTTCGTCTGGTTTCTCTAACCTGCGAACACAGCCTTCTCTCCTCGCTCCTGTCAGCTTAAGGGGCGTTTTAGTGTTAAGATGTCAGTGGTGTGTACGTGTCCTGTGAGATCAAGAAGAAACTCTTTTAGAGGAGGAGAAAGGCGTGTCCACGAAAGGTGTATCGATTTTGGTCAATCAACTTTCAACAGAAGGGACCCTCAAGACGCCGCTACAATTTGCTTTATGCACTTTCCTTTTTTTTTAGAACTTTGCTGAGATTTACTCAAGGAGACTATTTTTTATCAGTGTTACCCACCTGGGTAACACGGTCATAAATTATTTTCAAATTGGATAAACTGTCGTCGCTGTTGATGTTGTTGTTGTTGTTAAAAATTAAGCGGATGCTGCCCCGTCCCCGGTCGTCTCTGTCTCTCTGTCTCTCCTTAGTGGCGAAAGGGGTGTGATCATCCCGTGCTCCCGCCGCGTGTTATGCAAAGACGACTGGGGACGAGTGAAAACAGGAGTCAAAACAAAGTCAGAAATAGGAGCTTCAATTAGAACAATTATTGCAATAAAACCTGCAATCATGAAATAGTTTCGGTCTTTAATTCCCTGACTCCAATTGGTTCACTTGCTTCATCGCTTGTGTTACAAATTTTCGATCATAATAAACAAAGAACCCCTTCCCACTTCAGTTTCAAGACATGTAAAGCTGCATTTATTTGATAGCGAGCACAAAAGGGAATGTTGGGTGCAACTACAACTCTTGGGACAATCGTCAAAAGTGTGTGGGGAGGATACTATTTTTTACCTCTTTTTCCCTTATTTCCTCTGCCCCCTGCCCAATGTAAACTGCAAAACAGTCACGTTGTTTTTGCGTATTCAAGTACGCCGCGCGAACAGTAAAAAAAAAGGTCTAGAGCCATAATCGCACAAAAGGGCGAGACTGGGGAGAAAAGCTAAAACTACGCTGAACCGATTTTGAGAAAAACAAACCCGACTTGTTTGCCAGTCAGTGCCCAATGCTGTACAAAACTGAAGTATTTGTACGCGTAATTGTTTTGTTATATCGATCTCCAGCCAGGTTACCAAGTGAAAAAGTCAAAGCGTACAAACCGCACTAAGGGACTTAGAATAATTATCATCTGGAGTTTGGTGTGGATTTCTTCTTAAATCGGCCGCAATATAAATTTCAACTCGACGAAAAGCCTCAAAAGGGTTTGCTTAGTGTCGCCGCCTTTGGAAAGGTATCTAGGAGAGCAAGGGTAGCGTAGTCATGAGACAAAATGCCGGGAGAGGTGGCCTTCAGCAATTTCCAACGCCACTGCTATCTTTGTTTAGTTTTTCTCTTAAGCGAGACACAAGAAGCAAGGCTATTAAAGGGCATTGCCGACCTTGCTGCTCACCTTATTGCATACATTAGGGGCGGATCCAGAAAATTCAGACAGGGGTGGCCGGGACACTTGTTGGCTATATAGACACTTTTTATTTTTCTGAATTTCTATAAAAATGAAATAAAATTTCAAAGAAAAAGGGGTGACAGCGGCCTCCCCCCTCCCCAACCCGTAAATTCGCCCTTGACTCAGTTATGAGACATAAAATAAAGCAACAACGCATTTAGTTTACACTGTTGTTTATTTAGGCAAAAAGTAATCAGCTTGACTTGAGTTATTGACAGGGAATAGTATTTTTCTTTTTAAGAAAAGTGTACGTCTGTTACTACTGAAAAAAGCTAAGTAAAAACATGCCGTTTAGTTACAAAATGTGAACCATTCAGGCTGTGCTCGCTATTGAACAGGTTAAAACACACTTAAAAATAACACTTTCAAAAATGCGGTAGGTAAACTGATTGAACAGTATAATACATTTCTAGATATGAAGCAAAGTATTTGCAAATTAGTAATAATGTGAGCTTACAATGTAAGAGAAAAGTATCTCAATTAATTGCTTTTTTTTCACCAAAATAAACTGTGGATCTAATCAATATATTGCAGTTTTTCTTTCCAAGTATTGCATTTACGCGCTTCAAATTTAACTTTTACGCGACAGTGGAAATCTATATCATTTATGGGCAAAATATACTTACAAGTAGAACATAATACATCAATTTCGGCAAGCATCAAAACGTTTAAACAAAATAATCGCACAAAATTGATTTTCTCCAGAAATATGAACTGTGTATCTAATGATCAATATATAATATTGAACTGATGAATCTCAAGTCTTACATCAAAGGTAGGATTATTTCTAGCTTCACGCTACGAATCTGTCTCTCCTCGCCGCTATTAGAAAGTTTCGCGGCAGAGATGTTTCCCGAAAAAGGTCCCTAACGACGAGGAGGGAGGAAAGACGGTTGTATTCGCTGGCAAAATTATCTCATTTATGCTTAAATACCTGGATTCGGTTGTTATGAAATTCACACACAACTATTCTTCAATCAGTAAGATTTGCTGTAGAAACTGGGATCTTAAACTCCCCTCTGGCGCTACCTTGAATTCCAAATTTTGTAACAAACTTTCCACTCAGTTCAAATACTTGAACTCTGTGATTCGCCCTATCACAGATCAGACCATTAGCAATCCTTCTTTGTTAACTGACAAATACGCGGGCCAATTGAACTCTCCATCCTTGTTCCCCTGTTTTCCAAATTTAGAAATAAACTTTCCCTTCAGGTTAAACATTTTAATGGAATGATCATCAGCATCTGAGACTATAAAATATTGACCGTGTTGGATACAGTGAAAGGGTTTGACCAAAGAACCTGATCCACCAAATTTACGTAAATACTCCCCACTAGAAGAGAATATCTTGATTAATTTGTTACCTTTATCAGCAACAATAATATCACCGTTACCGTTTATTGATAAACCTTCAGGGTATTGAAGCTGATGATCAAGACTTCCTTGTTCACCAAACTTACTAAGAAAGTTACCGTTCCTGTCAAAGACTTGCACCCTGTGGTTTCCTCTGTCTGCCACTACAATATTGCCATGACTATCAAAAGTGATCCCTGTGGGGTACTGGAACTCACCATTATTCTGACCCTTCCTACCAAAGGATCTTAAGTGGGTACCGTCACTACTAAACACTGAAACCCTGCGGTTCAAGAACTCAGCCACAGCAATTTCATCTTGATCATTCACTGCCACCCCACAGGGCTTGTTAAGCATTCCAACAGATCTAGACTCACCCTCTTGTCCAAATGACAGCACAGATCTGAAGCGCTTGGTTTGTACCTGAGCCTCATGAGGACTGTCACGAACATTTGCCCCTTTATTCCCAGCAATTACTTTACTACTTTCTTTACCTTTAGCTTCTAATTGTTGCGTTTTAGTTTCGCTGAAAACAATTTTTACATTACCTATCCCTTCACTATTCAACACGTTAATCAGTTTTTCACTTTTAGTGAAAAAACCGAGGAATAAATTCAGTGTCACGGTTTTCTTGGGTGCCCTGTTCCTGAAGGATTGTATCAAATGTTTCACTGAATCCAAGGATTTCCTAAAGCTTCGTTTGACAAGAGCTTTAGTTTGTTCAACTGCCGATTCAATTAATTTCACTTGATTTTCAACTTCGTCTTTTTTCTTTGAGAGAGATACAAGTGATTTTTTCGCTTGATTATCGACTGCATCAAAAACATCCTGTTTCCTCGCTTCGATGATTGCAATAACTTGATCCACATTCGTCTGCACTTGTCTTTTAAAGTCGGAAACTTGTAGTTTAATATCCTCGCTCTTTTGGTTCAATTGCTCGAGTTCTTTTCGTTTTTCTTGAGCTTTTTCTGTTAAAGATTTAGTCATGGATTTGATCTGAGTCTTGCGCGCGTCTGTAGCTTCTTCCAAAAGCATCTTACCATGACCTTCATGAAGTGTCACAAAACACGTGTTGCAAATGGCGACTTTACAGTCCTTGCAAAAGATTTTCAACTCTTCTTTTTCATGTCGTTTCTTCTGACAAAATGCCGGTCTCTTTAATACGGCCTCGATGTCTTGATCTTGAAAATCTTTCAGTGCCAGCGTTCTGTGTTCCTTATTGGTGCGTATTATGTTATGTCCTAGAATACATTCCTCGCACCAGAAAGCATAACACTGGAAGCAATATAAGGTCTGGGCGCTCCGTTTGTTGCAATTTCCGCATTTCACGTTAGCTGTACTGCACTCTTTTTTTGCCAAGACATCTAGCAAACTGTTGATACGAAAATTAGTGGGAAGTTCGCTGGGATTTCCACTTCCAGGGATTTGAAACTGTCTCCTGAACTCGGGGCATGTAATTTTGCCATGGACGCCGCCCGTTCGTTGAATTCCGTTCAGGCAGTGAAGACAGAAACTGTGCAAACAAGGCAACTGCTTTGGGTCAGTGAATATACACATGCACACAGAACAGGATACTTCATTATGAAGATTGTCCAGCAAGGTCTTTATATCCATGGAGGGAAATGGTGGAAGTAAAACTATTTAAATTTTGAAATACCCAGCTCTTGGAAAGTGAAAGAATTACTAACTGTCTTTTGACTCAGACTGAACTTTACTTTCATCAACCAATCAAACGGAGTTCCTTGACGAATTTCTGATTTCTGACGTCACTCTGAAGAATCCAAAAACATCCTATATTTCTGAGAATCGTCATCTGTTTACAAAGCAAGAACCGACTGAAATGTTTTTTAAAACCTATTAAATTATATTTTACATCACTGAGACTCTACACGTAAAGTTCGTATAAGCAGGAGCCCAATAAATGCGGGATTATTTCGACCAACTGATAAAGGCTATATAACAAACAAAATTTGTTTGTTTTTGTCAATATTCATTCACCAAACAAGACAAACGACTAAGTTCTCTTTTTTGAAGAAATTCAAAGACAGCTCGGTGAATTACAACCACAGGAAAACTGTGAGGTGAACACTGAAGATGACTTTAACACTTTAAATCCTAACACCGCATATAGTATGCGTAAAAAATACTGTACATGCGTTAACTATTTGTTTCTTGTTTTACTTTAGTCACAACCTATTGGACATTTATACGTAGCACTATATGGTAGATTTTGCAATTATGAAAGTAAATAAACCAATTACAACTCCCAATTTCGACCTTTATATCACCCGGTTCGTTTTGAAACTGTCTCGCCTGCATTCCGGGCATGTGATTTTACCATGGACGCCGCTCGTTCGTTGAGGCAATGAAGACAGAAGCTGGGCAAACTAAGACAACTGCTTTGGATCAGTGAATGTACACATACACACAGAACGGGATACTTCATCATGAAGCCGGATTGTCGGCTAAGGTCTTTTTATCCATGGAAAAGGTCGAAAAAATCGGTGAAATACTGTCTAGGTTGGACTTGCCAGTCCGGATGATCGAACTTAGTTATATGCCGTGGTAAAGAAAGAACGGAATTTTTGTATTGTCACGCTTTTTTCAAGTTTTGACCGATCAGACAGAGTTCCTTGACTTATACGTATTTCTAAGAAGCCAAAATAATCATTCTTATGAAAGTATGAACCACTCATAAAGTGTTTTTTTTAGAATTGACTTATGTCCGGAGACCGCGAGTTATTGTACATTACAATCAGTATATACAGCTTAAAATCCGTTGCTAGAAGACGAGCACTTATTAGATGCCTGTACTTCTGATTTTCGTCTTGCTCTTAACTTTACTAATATAATCAAAGATATCGAAGATAGTCTTTTTAAATTCGTGAATCTCTTCACGAATTTAAAGTGAACCCTGGCAACGCCAGTTGGTTCGTGTGGTTTGTTGGTCGAGTCTGGTCGAGTGTTGTAAACTTTCATTCCACGCAAATAAGGCGCATAGTGATCGAGCATTGGGTGTCACTCTTTATGGCATGGGAGCATGTGAGTATAAAGACGGGGTATATAAGAATCAACCGAGTTCTGAGCCGAGTAACCGTACCGCTAACATAAACATAGCTTACATACTTCAACCGTGTTGCAAGAAGCTGCAAAAAGATAGGGCTGAAAACGGAGAGCGAGACTGGGGAGATACGCTAATTAACTACGCTAAACATAGAAAAAATCCCGACTGTTTTGAAGTCTATGGCCAATGTTGTACAAAAACTGAAATGTTTGTGCGCGTAATTGTTTTGTTATTTCCCCAACTTTCCCCACTACTTTTGTCTGGGACTGCGGGTTACCAATCGATAAGCGGATCCAGAAAATTTAGAAAGGAGTGGCCGGGACACAGTGCCAGTATATAAACTGAGACTTCGATAAAAATGATACAAAATTTTAAAGAAAAAAGGAGTGTTCGCGGCTTCCTCGTCCCCACTCCCCCCACTAAATCCGCCTTTGACCATTAGGAGACATTGAATACAAGGAACAAACCATTTACACTAATGTTTATTTAGACAAAAAATAGTCCACTCGAGTTATTTACAGGGTATAGTATTTTGCTTTTTGAGAAATATGTACGTCTATTACTACTGAAAAAAGATAAGTAAAAATAAGCCGTTTACTTACAAAATTGACAACTCAGGCTGTCCTCGCTATTAAACAGGTTAAAACCCATTCAAAAATCACACTTTCAAATATGTACGTAAATATTAAACAGCATAATTTTTCTAGATATGAAGTATTCGCAAATATATTTAGTAATAATGTGAGATTACAATGTAAGAGAAAATTATGTCAATTAATTGCTTTTTTTGGAAATAGTCAATTCAATATCTGCTGCAATTCTAAGCATTGTATCTACGCGCGCGTGAATAAAATAGAGGCAATGTAAGGAAGGTGGCGCCAGCGTAAACTCAACTTTTACGCGACAGTGGACTGATCCATATCATTTATGGACAAAATATATTTACAAGTAGAACATAATAAACCAATTTCGACATATCAAAATGTCTAAACAAAAAAATCGCACAAAATTGTTTCCTCCAGAAACATGAACAGTGGAGCTTAAATGATCAATGTATAATAGCGGGACCTGAATCTCAAGTCTTTCTTCATCAAAGGTAGGATTATTTCAAGCCCGCTGTGAATACACCTGTCTATCCTCGCTGCGTCGCCGCTATTATAGGTTTCGCGGCAGAGATGTTTTCCGCTAAAGGTCCCTAACGACGAGGAGCGAGGAAAGACGGTTTTATTCGCAGGTTATAGATTATTTCATGTATGCTCAAATACCTGGATTCGATTGTTATTCAATTCACACACAACTATTCTTCCATCACTAAGAATTGCTGTAGAAAATGGACTCTTAAGCTCTCCTCTCCCACTACCTTCACTTCCAAATTTTGTAACAAACTTTCCACTCAGTTCAAATACTTGAACTCTGTGATTTCCTGCATCACAGACCATTAGCAATCCTTCTTTGTTAACTGACAAGCCAAGGGGTTGATTGAACTCTCCATCCTTGTTCCCCTGTTTTCCAAATTTAGAAATAAATTTTCCCTCAAGATCAAACATCTTAATGGAATGATCACCGCAATCTGAGACTATAAAATATTGACCATGTTGGATACAGTGAATGGGAGTGACCAATGAACCTGCTCCACCAAACTTACGCAAATAGTTGTGACTAGAGGAGAATATCTTGATTAATTGGTTACCGGTATCAGCAACAATAATATCACCGTTACCTTTTATTGATAAACCTGCAGGGTAAATAAGCTGATGATCAAGGCTTCCTTTTTCACCAAACTTACTAAGAAAGTTGCCATTCCGATCAAAGACTTGCACCCTGTGGTTATAACAGTCTGTCACTACAATATTGCCATGACTATCAAAAGCGATCCCTTTAGGGTACTGGAACTCACCATTATTCTGACCTTCCCTACCAAAGGATCTTAAGTGGGTACCGTCACTACTAAACACTGAAACCCTGTGGTTCAAGAACTCAGTCACAGCAATTTCATCTTGGTCATTCACTGTCACCCCCCAGGGATAGTTAAGCATTCCAACGGACTCACCTTTTTGTCCAAATGACAGCACAGATCTGAAGCGCCTGGTTTGTACCTGAGTCTCAAGAGGACTGTCACGAACATTTGCCCCTTTAATCCCAGCAATTACTTTACTACTTTCTTTACCTTTAGCTCCCGATTGTTTCACTTTAGCTTCGCTGAAAACAATTTTTACATTACCTATCCCTTCACTGTTTAACACGTTAATCAGTTTTTCACTTTTAGTGAAACTAAACCGAGGAATACATTCAGTGTCACGGTTTCCTTGGGTGCCCTGTTCCTGTAGGATTACATCAAATGTTTCACTGAATCCAAGAATTTCAGTACTGAAGCTTCGTTTCACAAGGGCTTTAGTTTGTTCAATTGCCGATTCAATTAATTTCACTTGATTTTCAACTTCGTTTTTTTTCTTTGAGAGAGATTCCAGTGATTTTTTCGCTTGATTATCGACTGCATCAAAAACATCCTGTTTCCTCGCTTCGACGATTGCAATAATTTGATCCACATTTGTCTGCACTTGGCTTTTAAAGTCGGCAACTTGCAGTTTAATGTCCGTGCTCTTTTGGTTCAATTGCTCGAGGTCTTTTCGTTTTTCTTGTTCTTTTTCTATTAAAGACTGAGTCATGGAGTTGATCTGAGTCTTGCGCGCGTCTGTAGCTTCTTCCAAAAGCATCTTTCCGTGACCTTCATGGAGTGTTACAGCACAAATGTTACAAATGGCGACTTTACAGTCCTTGCAAAAGAGCTCCAACTCCTTGTTTTCATGTCGTTTCTCTTGACAAAATGCCGGTCTCTTTAACACGGCCTCGATGTCCTGATCTTGAAAATCTTTCAGTGCCAGCGTTCTGTGTTCTTTATTGATGCGTATAATGTTATGTGCTAAGACACATTCGTCGCACCAGAAAGAACAACACTGGAAACAATATAAGGTCTGGGCATTCCGTTTGTTGCAGTTTCCACATTTCACGTTAGCTGTACTGCACTCTTTTATTGCCAAGACATCTAGCAAACTGTTGATTCGAAAATTAGTGGGAAGTTCGCTCGGATTTCCACTTCCAGGAATTTGAAACTGTCTCCTGCACTCGGGGCATGTAATTTTGTCGTGGACGCCGCTCGTTCGTTGAATTCCGTTCAGGCAGTGAAGACAGAAACTGTGCAAACAAGGCAACTGCTTTGGATCAGTGAATGTAGACATACAGACAGAACAGGATACTTCATCATGAAGATTGTCAAGCAAGGTCTTTATATCCATGGAAAAGGTCGAAAACAAGGTTACTTTTTACACGCTTTGACCTAGCTGTTGATGATCAAGGGAATGGCTCTGCGAATAAGTAATGAAGTCTTGTCTTGTGACCCAGACTAAAATCTGTATTAATAACCAATCAAATAGTGTTTTTTGACATGTTTTGATGGTTTGACGGAATAATAATAAACATCATGTATTTACGAGAATTTATAATCAGCTCTTCGTCATGGCGGCGGCAAGCGTTTCCGCGCAAGGTGGTCAAGAAAGTCGGGGGAGAGGAGAAAAGAGGAATGGAGGAACTTTCTCTACCTAATTAGTTCGGAAACGTTTGCCAGGCAGCCTAAAGCATGGAGTACCGAACTTTTTTGAATATTTGTGTACACTTCATACCGGTTACAAACGAATAACACACGGATTTATGTTCGCCTATTTAAAGGAGTACCCCCACCCCCCGGGGAGTTTGCTGCAAAACGAGTTGAATAGCGATATTGCGCGTTTTACCGCTCACAAAAAAAACCTTAGAACCTTTGTATTTGTTGCAAGACAGGTTCAAAAGTGGGTGCGGGTAAAACGGGATAAGCATCGCACTTCAACACGTTTAGCACCAATGTTGCAAAACAACTTGCAAGTTTTTTGTTGCTCGTTTTACCAGGTTTTACTGCGGTTACTGAAGTATACATGTATAACTATGTTACTCGTTTATTAGCGGTACGTTTAGTGGCTCAGAACTCGGTTGATTCTTATATTTATATGTACTCCGTATTTATCCTTCCATGCTCCCATGCCATAAAGAATATATCCAATTAAAAAGCTAAAGGAATGACAAAAGGTTCGTGGCTCGATTAACGGGGCCGGACCAGTACTGACAGGGTCTTTGCGATGCAAGCGGCTAGACCGTCGCGTGGCTCATCCTCGCAGACCCAGGGGCAGCTAGTCGGGACGATAATTCGTGGTGAAAGCTTACTGTAAGATCGAGGCGAGGGGCTAAATAAATAAATAAATAATAAATAAATATACCGTTTATTTGCCACATTGCAGAATTAACTGAATTAAAAGGCTATAAATTAACAATCAACGAATAATTAACACTACTCATAGAAACAAGAAAAATATCTTAAATATAACTATTTACATATTCAGATATTTACTTGCGAATAAAATAAAGGAACCTGAACGCTGTGTCCGGCAACAACTCCTGTCAGCGTAAACAATATTTCGATTGTCGCTGGCCCGCAAGTTGTAACTATGACCACTAATTGCTGTTCTCAACTTGAGGAAGTTAATGGGGTGGTCATTTTGAGTCATATTTACAGCAGAGCTGAGTTCGTCTTTCTTTCAAGCTGCTAAGGTTGGTAGTCTAAGTAACCATGGCATGGATGTATATAGTCCCCTTTTTTGAATTGACTCCAGCTTATTTGAAAGCTCTGCTCGGGATGTTACTAAAACGGGGAACGGGGAGCGGGGAGCGGGGAGCGGGGAGCGGGGAGCGGGGAACTGGGAACGGAAGTCTGGGAACGAGTTGTCAGCGGAAACCTCCATAAAAATCCAAAATGGCCGGTAAGGATCAAGAACCCGGTAAGATCGATGATAGATAAGATGATAGAGAAGCGTCGAAACAACACTTAAGGTCGCTATTTTACTAATGAACTATATGCTCATGAGGTGCTTGAAATAATACGGGGGTAATAATTTCATGACATTTCTCACCTTTTTGCGTTTTACTAAACAACAAAATATGCTCCAACAGCAGTTGAAAGAAGCTACAGTCGGGACAAAGACTCTCAAAGCACAGCCATATTTGGAACTCAAGCGAATCTATACTGGGTCTAACTCACAAAGCAATGAATTACTTTTGCTTGACGCTTTTCGTAGGGTTTTGGCTTAAATACATGGTGAAAAATAACGTAGATCGAAGCAGCCAGGTGTGTTTCCTCGACAGTAATAGTGTAGCAGTGGAGCTCCTTCCTAGCTGTAGCGTTTTTTCAAGCCCAAATTAAAACATGTTGGCGATGAGATAAAACTGTAAGTCTAATAATATTATATTTACAAACCTATGATGAGAAGTAAGTGCAATTGTACTATTTGAAAAGATAAGATGGATCAGGTTATTTAATACATCAATAAAAGGCAACTTTAAACATATTAACGGGCAATGTGCCAGGAACATCAATCATACCTTGGTCTTAAAGATATCAGTTGTTTCAAAGCAAATGGCTATGCTGTGGTTTTATTTTATTATAACCTAGGTTTATAAATTTTGCTTCCCTTTGTTTGGGGTACGGTAATATGAATTTTATGATTACCAGTTCAAAACAAAGAGAATAAAATTCAAACTTAGGATAAAAGTGAACCACAACTGAGCTGCAATAATAAGTGTTGCAAGTATACGTGGGGGAAGTACTTTAAAGTCTTTGGTTGGAAGGTACTTTCTAAAGGTTAGCTGTTAAAATGTGCATGGTAAGTATACTTCCTCTGTTTAGCCCTCTGGATGCTTTTTTTTTCTAGGGGGGGAGCTCTGCTTCTCTTTAATGAACATTACTTTTACTGTGGAGAAAAATATTTCAAGCTCAGTGTAAAACTGAATATCAGTGACTTAAACCAGTTAATATTGTCAAGCTGCTTTATTGGCTTGACTCAGTAATATTGCAGTGCACCTACCATCAAGCATCACATCATCAATGTTGCAGAGGTTGGCAGCTTATTAGAAGGTGGTTGATAAGTCTTCAAGCAAGCTGTCTGTAGTTTTGGAAATAAAGAGTCTAAGGTCTCACACAAGTGATGGGAGGCAAAAGACTGGATTGTCGATATGTTTTTCAGTAAACACGCACAACTGTATGTGTATAGTGGCCACATTACGCTTACTCAATGCCTGTAAAATAACACAATAGATCTTGCTACCCATTTTCCCTGATTTTATTTCCCCTCCAGGGGACATAATTTCTTTTAACATATCGGGGTTTTTAATTCATTTAATGAAGCACAGTATCGAAGAAATTAAAGAGAAGAATCAGACTAGAGTAACAGTAACCCAGAGGGGAGGGGGGGGGTACTCACCAAAGAGGCTCTGCCCCAGGGACCAACCCTTTACCCTTTGTATGTACCATTTTAGACAGAAAACGTACCCCTTTTGTTTACCCTCTAGTGACAAATGGTACCCCTTTCACATACTTCAACTATAAAAACCCCTTCCCTTTCTGTTTAGGCCATTATAGTACCCCCTCCTCCTGCACCGAGAACAGTACTTGATACAGCGATGATGTATGGTGTGAATTGCACCAAACGTTTCGTGCCCATGAAGAGGTACTTTGATCATTTTATGACATTTTTCTTCAAAAGGGAGGGGTTTGGGATCTCATTCTTAGGGGGGCGGGGGGTTAATTGAGGATCTGCAGTGAGTGAGAATGTTGCATTCAATGTAATCCAATGGTTTTTATTCAGGAAAGGGTCGTCAGGGGTATTTCGCAGAGAGACAAATGGCCACTGTACGACTTTGAAGCAGTTACTGCTTAGGGTGAGGAAAATGAGTGAATTAGGTTCCATTAGGGTCATTATACTGGTCTACACAGGGCAAACTGACCTGAAACAAATTGTTTCACAAAATAATAAAATGATATTATTTTATTTTCATGGATCAGTGAAACACTTCAATATCGTGAATGCTTGCAGTGTAGTAGATCTAATAATATTAAAAGCAGAACCAGATTGTTAAAGTAGTCTTACTAATTATGTGATGACGTGGTCAATAACATTTTTCAAAGCAGTCATCTCTATCAAAGGAAATAGAAGAAGTCTGCACACAAGCTACTTGACTACTTCGATGTATGTTATCTATCATGGAAAAGTAGTTCATTGCTTTGTGGGCTAGACTCAGTATAGATTCGCTTGAGTTCCAAATATGGCTGTGCTTTGAGTTGTCCCGATTGGCTTCTTTCAACTGCTGTTGGAGCATATTTTGTTTCCTAGGGATAATTGTTTAGTAAAACGCAAAAAGGTGAAAAACGTCATGAAGTTATTACCTCCGTATTATTTCAAGCACCTCATGAGCATATAGTTCAAGTAAAATAACGCCGTTATCGGTTAAGTTTGTTTCCACGGTTCTCTATCATCGATCATCGGCCATATTACATTTTTATGGAGGTTTCCGCTGACAACTCGTTCCCAGACTTCCGTTCCCCGTTCCCCGCTCCCCGCTCCCCGTTCCCCGTTCCCCGTTCCCCGTTCCCCGTTCCCCGTTTTAGTAACATCCCTCTGCTCGTCTCGAAAACTCGGGCTCGTCTCGATCTTACAGTAAACTTTCACCACAAACATTTTATCGACCCAACTAGATGCCCCTAGGTCTCGGCTCGGATGACTATGTAAAATGGCGGTCCCGACTTCTTTAGAACTTTCGTGCTAAATACCTTGTCACCGATTGTAGCACAGCAAGGAAATTAGAATAATATGCGCATTTGCAGTTTGAGTCTGGATTTCTTCTTTAAATGATGGGGGAAAATTTTTGTCAACTCGGCAAAAGCCTCAATGTGGTGTGGTTGTATATTTTCTGCCTTCGTTTGCACAGTAATTTGCCACTTGCGAAAATATCATTTGAAAACAGCTTGTATTGCCTGAGGAGAAAATCGAAAATTGAAAATGATCGCTCACCAGTTTTTCGGTGAAAAGCAAAGATGAACCGTCTTGAGAATAGTGACACGAACTGCAATCTCTAGCTTCAGACTCCACTTTCTGTAAAAGATATTAGATTTACTGACCTGATTAATTGTCGACTATAGCTGTAGTACAGCTCCACATAATCCCTTTTCTGGTGTATGTATTACAACTGCAGCAATACTATAGTGCGCTGAGGTGTTACAAGGAATGAGACGAAAATGAACAGAAGGCATAACTTATCTCAAGTTTGGTCATTTCAGGTTTGAGTGGCTCATCGATAGATCGTCAGTATTTTCTACTCTCTAAAAAATGCGTGTTAAGTTCGAGAGACTTGCCGAGTTACTCAGGTAAGTTATGCTCGGTTTATTGAAACGACTACAGCTGTTGAAAGAAATTCTGAAACAAAAGGAAATAGAAAAAAGGGCAAACTGAATGAGTAAAACAAAACTAAACAGCTAAAATAAGGGACATCGTATCAAAAGTTTGATCATTTCAGTTTTAAGTGGCTCATCGATAAGCATTTCTACTGATATTGCTACTAAAACTACCCTAGCTGTTGAAAATGGTCATGTCAAGAGAAAATGTTTTTAATACCTTTTCCTTTCACCTTCAGCTGTGGTCATTACAAACCGAAGGTAACTCGGCAAGTCTCTGGAACGCTTATTTTCAGGGCGTGACCACAATCCAAGTGTTTATTCTGTCGTTTGCTCCCTACTTTCTTTAAACGTCGAGAGCCAGAAATAAGTTGATAGTCTGTGAGCGGGTTCTTTAAGGGGCTAGGGCAAAGAGACGGTGAAAAAAAAATAGTTGAAGAGGATTGGTGAGAGAGAGCTTCACGTGTCCCCACCTTTACCTCCAAATCAAACTCGCATTAGAAGCCTACTTGGCATCCAAGCAAACTGCTTTCCTTCTTTAGTTTTCTCTTAGGAACCTTAGGCGAGATAGCCTGCGGACAAAGAATTATTTCTGGTCGTCGCTTCTCACCCCCAGGATGGAGAGAAGCGACGACCGGAAATACGTCTGCGTCCGCAGGCTAGAGGCGAGAAGAAAGGGCATCGAAATCTTGCTGAGAAGACTAAGGGCGTCTGTTCGATTGACCGTGTTTCAGATTACTCGGGTAAATTAAGACATGGACCTCAATTTACTCACTTTAAAAGTGAGAGGATGGTCTACAACTAAGAGCTTTATACACGTAAGACGCTGAAAAAGCTTGTTCTTGACATGAAACGGCAACACTTTTTCCTGTGTCCTCAATTGTTTTACCGGCCGTTTAATATATCACTTCTGTGCTTGGCCTTTTTTAGATATTTAAAAGCGAAAGCGTTAAGATATGATAAAACTGCCTTGGGGCACTGGGTCTAGTTGAAAAAACCGTTTTTTCTAAAACAGTAAAAAATTCAAAAAAGGCCAAGCACGGTTCTGTAGATGCTTGCATTACACATTGTCCTAAACCAGTCCCGACCGGTTTAATAACTCCAACAAAAAGTGTTGTTGTAACAAACTTTCCACACAGTTCAAACACTTGAGTTCTGTGGTTGGTCAGGAATCACAGACCATAAGTACTCAGTCCCGCTTTTCTAACCGACAGGGAACGAGGATAGTTGAATTCTCCATCCTTGGTCCCGTTTTCCAAATTTACCAAAGTTTCCCTGAGGATCAAACATTTTAATGAGATGATAACCACAGTTTCAGACTACACTCTAACCTTTCATAACGGCCACCTCTGTACAACGGCCATTTTTTTTAGGCGGATTGTCCGTACATTCACTGTTGTTTCAGCCTCTACAACGACCACTTCTCTACAATGGCCACTTTTTTCTGTCCCCAAGGTGGCTGTTGTAGAGAGTGTCAACTGTATAAGATATTGACTGTGTAGGATACAGTGATAGGGATTGGCAAACATGAGTACCTGCTCCACCAAATTTGCATAAAAACTCCTCTCTATAACAGAGCATCTTGATGAATTTGTTGCCTTTATCAGCAACAATAATATGGACCTTAAGCAACGACGAAGACGACGGCAGTGAAAACGTCCCTAAAAAAATGAATTTGAGTTCTTTTAAACTTAATCGCGTCTATTTGGACCCGCTCAATATGTCAAATACAGGCGACTTTTCCTGGAGTTGAATTCTTAAGGATTTTATTCAAGTTCAAAAAGAGGAAGGAAAATTCGTCGTCGTATGTCCACGTCCTCCATAGAACGTCAAATTAGGAGGTTTCACGTCGTAGTCCAGTGGACGTCAAAGAAATGTACTAAAAAGCGTGATGCACGTGCAGAGTTGTTGTTTTGATCATTAAACCTACTGTTTTTTTGAAATTGTCGTCGTTGTCGTCGTCCTCGTAATTGCTTAAGCTCCCTAATATTACTGTCACCGTTTATTGATCATGAAATCTTCAGGTTCACTAAGCTGGTCATCACCTCTTTCACCAAAATTACTAAGAAAGTTACCATTTCAACCAATTAGACTTGTACCCTGTGCTTGGGTGGCCGGCAGTAAATGAGACAAAATGGGAGAGGTGGCCTTCACCAATTTCCAACGCCACTGCTAAATTTGTTTAGTTTTTCTCAAGTGACACAAGAAGCAAGACTAGCTGTTAAGTGGCCTTGTCGACTTTCCTGTGCAGGTTATTGCAAACATGCAAACATTAGCAGGAGCGGATCCAGAAAATTCAGAAAGGGGTGGCCGGGACACTTGCCAGCTATATAAACTGAGAATTCTATAAAAATGATACAAAATTTCAAAGAAAAAAGGGGTGGTCGCGGCTTCCTCGTCCCCAATCCCCCGCCCCTAAATCCGCCTTTGACTTTTAGGAGACATTGAATACAAGGAACAAAGCATTTACACTGTTGTTTATTAAGACAAATAATAATCCACTTGAGTTATTTACAGGGAATAGTATTTTGCTTTTTGAGAAACTGAAATATGTATGTCTATTACTACTGAAAAAAGGTAAGTAAAAATAAGCCGTTTAGTTACAAAATCAGGGCTCCTGACAAAATTGACAATTCAGGCTGTCCTCGCTATTGAACAGGTTAAAACCCATTCAAAAATCACGCTTTCAAAAAAGTATGTAAATATTAATCAGTATAATATTTCTAGATATGAAGTATTTGCAAACGTATTTAGTAATGTGAGATTACAATGTAAGAGAAAATTATCTCAATTAATTGCTTTGTTTGGATGTAGTCAATTCAATATATGCTGCAGTTTTTCTTTCCAAGTATTGTATTTACGCGTGTAAATAAAATAGAGGCAACGTAAGGAAGGTGGCGCCAGCGTAACTTCAACTTTTACCCGACAGTGGACTGATCCATATCATTTATATGGACAAAATATATTTACAAGTAGAACATAATAAACCAATTTCGACATATCAAAATGTCTAAACAAAATAATCGCACAAAATTGATTTCCTCTGAGACTATAAAATATTGACCATGTTGGATACAGTGATAGGGATTGACCAAAGAACCTGCTCCACCAAATTTACGGAAGTACTTCCCACTAGAAGAGAATATCTTGATTAATTTGTTATCTCTATCAGCAACTATAATATTATCCTTGCCGTTTATTGATAAACCTTCAGGGTCAAAAAGCTGGTGATCAAGACTTCCAAGTTCACCAAACCTACTAACAAAGTTACCATTCCTATCAAAGACTTGCACCCTGTGGTTATCGCAGTCTGCCAGTACAATATTTTTTGGGGGGGGGCGGGGGGCACCACAATATTGCCAAGACTATCAAAAGCGATCCATGAAGGGAACTGGAATGCACCATTATTCTGACCCTCCCAACCAATGGGTACCTTCACTACTAAACACTGAAACCCTGTGGTTACCACACTCAGTAACAGCAATTTCATCCTGATCATTCACTGCCACACCACAGAGCCCTGCAAGCATTCCAAAAGACTCACCTTCTTGTCCAAATGACAGCACAGATCTGAAACTCCTGGTTTGTACCTGCAGAGTCTCCAGAGGACTGTCACGAACATTTGCCCCTTTTTATTGCGGACAATTACTTTACTACTTTCTTTACCTTTAGCTCCTAATTGTTGAATTTTAGTTTCGCTTAAAACAGTTTTTATATTTCATATCCCTTCACTGTTCAACTCGTTAATCAGTTATTCACTTTTAGTGAAACTAAACCAAGGAATACATTCACTGTCACGGTTTCCTTGGGTTCCCTCTTCCTACAAGATTGTATCAAATGTTTCACTGAATCCAAGGATTTCAGAACTAAGTTTGTTCAATAGCTGATTCAATAATATTTACTTGATTTTCAACTTGGTCTTTTTTCTGTGAGAGAGATTCCGGTGATATTTTTCGCTTGAAAATCGACTGCATTAAAAACATCCTGTTTCCACGCTTCGATGATTGCAATAACCTGATCTACATTCGTCTGCACTTGGCTTTTTAAGTAGGCTGCTTGCAGTTTAATCTCCTCGCTCTTTTGGTTCAATTGCTCGAGTTCTTTTCGTTTTTCTCGTGCTTTTTCTTTTAAAGATTGAGTCATGGATTTGATCTGAGTCTTGCACTCTTCTGCAGCTTCTTCCAAAAGCATCTTTCCGTGACCTTCATGGAGTGTTACAGCACAAGTGTTGCAAATGGCGACCTCACAGTCCTTGCAAAAGAATTTCAACTCTTCTTTTTCATGTCGTTTCTTCTGACAAAATGCCGGTCTCTTTAACACGGCCTCGATGTCTTGATCTTGAAAATCTTTCAGTGCCAGCGTTCTGTGTTCTTTATTGATGCGTATCATGTTATGTCCTAAAATACATTCCTCGCACCAGAAAGAACAACACTGGAAGCAATATAAGGTCTGGGCGCTCGGCGTGTCGCAGTTTCCACATTTCACGTTAGTTGTATTGCATTCTTTTATTGCCAAGACATCTAGCAAATTGTTAATACGAAAATTGGTGGGAAGTTCGCTAGGATTTCCACTTCCAGGGATTTGAAACTGTCTCCTGCACTCGGGGAATGTAATTTTGCCATGGACGCCGCTCGTTCGTTGAATTCCGTTCAGGCAATGAAGACAGAAACTGTGCAAACAAGGCAACTGCTTTGGATCAGTGAATGCGCACTTGCACACTGAACAGGATACTTCATCATGAAGATTGTCCAGCAAGGTCTTTATATCCATGGAAAGGTCGGAAACAAGGTTACTTTTCAAAAATTTCGGCCTAGTTGTTGACTTATTTAGGGAATGGCTTTGAAAAGGAACACAGGCGGCCCAGACGTAGTATGTGTCACTGAATGAATATATTAATATTCACATGGACAAATTAATGCGATGAGTCGTCGAAACTCCCATGGACTAAAATAGTCCAAAAGTCAAAATATAACAAAACAAAGCTAAGATACCTTCAACTGAACGTATCCTTGTCTTTCCTGGCCGGTTTAAGTGGCATTTTGTTGAGTTTTGCAATTGTAGGTACTATCCACTAAAGAAGAATTAAAGGCTGGCTACAAAACAAACAGACCATCTCCACGCGCCTTCACACGAAGCGCTATAAATTCGAGAATAATCGACGAATCCGCTCCAAATAACCATCGGCTAATCTGCAGGTAACGAGTGCTCCTGCTTCTGGCTCGCTTGCTCCACAAAACCCATCGCAACTGCACAATAATTGCTCGCTCATCAACAACCACTGTTGACCTTTACGCTTCGATATGACCGCAAACGACCAGGTTTAATACGCGACGTGAATATTCAAGCTTAGCGACCGCGTTCGCGCAACAATGCAGCACTTGCTATGGGAGGGATGGTACTATTGCTTCTAGGTCAATCGACTGACCGAAGGTTCGCTGCGTTAGTTTTGACCAGAAAACAAAAGGCGATCGCGGGACCGTTCGTAAGTTTTCAACAGGGCAGCCCTGGTTTTCAAGTTCGAATTCTTCTAACGTTCGCTGTCTCAGCTGCTGTCACATTGTTCGTCCAGCCGCTTGCATAGGTTCTTGACTCTCCCAGACTTATTTTCTTAGATTAACAACGTCTTACTCCATAATATGTTGTCCAAACTGGTGAAGGAGGACGAGAATTTTCCGCCCGGGAAAAAGGCAAAATCTGGCCCCCGCTATGCAGCTGAATAGAAGATACAGCTGAAGATATCGTAAAGTAAAATTTATGTGCGCGATATCTTTTATTATTATTATTATTATTCTCAAAACTCAGGGGCACCCAACGATGATTTCCCCCTAAATGCATTGAAAACACATTTAAGGCTGTCCAGAGTACTTTTGATCGAAAAATGCATTCTAAACAGCGCTTACATAAATTTAGTCAGAAGGGCTAAAAGCGAAGCTAATGATTTATAGTTTGCTCATACTAAATATAAAATATATCATGTAATGCTAAGCGGAGAAGGCAACGAGACAGGGCCACCCAACGACTGTTTCCTCAAATACTTTCAATTGAAAACACTTTTGTAGCT